CCTGAACATACGAACAGTAGCAGCTTTGCTGAAGCAGCTCAGCATCTGTCCAAAGTCAGAGATACATGGCTGTATCGGTTTCTCTTCCCATCAAGTTTTCCTGATTTCTACGCACATAACACTTGTGCATAGTGTTGTGGATAGGAAGGATGTTTTGGGAAGGTTAGCAGCATCACAGGGCACTGCCATGCACATGGTATCTGTGTCTGCAGTGTAATTCTGGGCCTCTGTGTCCATTCTGTCTGGTGGGTGAGCTTACTTCCCCTTCTGTTTCTGCTGCTGTTCTTCAAATATGGGAAAGGTGTATCTTTAAGTGGAACACACAATGATGCAATGATTAAGGATCTCTGCAGTGTTTATAACGTACTTAGAAAATGTGTATGTGTTAGGAAATAAAAGGGCATCACATGAGTTCTTTTTGATGTGACAGCTAATGTTTTCACACATGTTGAATTATTTGTATTTTAAATGGCACATTTACGTATTAGTAAATCAGTTTTCTGCTGAAAGTAAGAGTAATCCATTAAAACATTGCTCTGGATTCTAGATGATGATTAAAATTCAGCATACTGCAATTGTTATGTGGGGCAATTACAGTACAGAGGTATACACCTTCATTTCTTTCTTGGTATCAGTCCATTCCTAAACATTTACACATGACATAAGATTTAGTGGATAATTTTTTTGGCAAAACGTACACTTTGCAGTTGCTGTACGGTTAGGATTATTTGTAATGCTTGCAGTATTGAATTTGAATGAATAACGGAATGAGAAGCTGCAAGTGAAAGTGTCTGATTAACTGCCAGGTAACACAGCTCCAGCATAGGTAGGCAAATCCATCTATGTCCGTATTGCTTCAATCCTTGTTTGTACTAGTAGTGCTGCTTTTTTCTCCCCCTCTCAAACTGACTGCTTTGGGTTTAGTAAAGGGTGATTGTAGTAATTAAGCAGCTAGTAAATAAACTAGTATTTCTAAGTGGACAAGCTCATATATCCAAGGTCTTCTATGAAATATGTTTTCTACTTCTATACCCTGTAAGAGGTAGAGAAATTAGTTCAATGGATGTAATGCTTTAGGATCTTTGCCAGTTGAGTTCCAACAAATTTTATTTCTGGTCACGGAATGCCTGTAATAAGACAAATCACTCTTGGTATTTGATTTAGTTTTTCAAAATCTACCAAAAATAGAATCCACTAAATGAAAATCTATAATAGAAGCTACTGAGACTTTCCTGGGAAAAAACTCGCATGACAAACATGCAGCAATGAGGCTAGATATGACTTGTAGAAAGTAGTTATCAGAGATGTACATTAATATACATTAAATACCCCTTTTAATTTCTTTACTTTTGTTGAGCTCTTTGTATTTACTTGTAGAAAATCTCTCTGCTCGCTGTCATATGCTTTTTCTCTGTGCCGTTCTTTTTCTTGCCATCTGCCTGAACCCAGGCCCTAGAAAGACAGAAAGATTACTTTGACTGCATTAAGAATGAGCGAGATGAGCTCAGAGAGGAGTTGGCTGACCTGAAGGAAACAATGAAGAGAGGAGAGGTATGTTTGTAGCGGTTACTTTGCAGTAACAGAAATCCAGGAGTGGGGCATGAAATCAAGGTCAATGAAAAAGGAACCATGGTTACTACTCTTGTGCAGTCTCAAAACCTGACCTTAGGGTAGGATAAATGGTTCAATAGTTGTAACTTTTTCAATCAACTTGAAAAGCTTTTTATGAACTGTTCTGTCTGATTATGTTTTAGCACTGCTCTTGTATGAGTAGGTTGTTTGTTTTTTTTCTTTTGTGATTTTAGAAACATGGATTAGTTATAATCCCAGATGGCACACCAAACGGTGATGTAAACCATGAATCAGTGGTTGGTGCTATAACAGTTGTATCACAGGAAGCTGCTCAAGTCTTGGAATCTGCAGGAGAAGGACCACTAGGTAAAAATACCCTACCATACTTTGTCATAGAGTGTTTGAAGTCTTTGTTTCCTTCCTGTTCACAGTGATTTACAGCCACAGAAAGATACCTGTGATGTTTCTGGAATATACAACTTTCAAGGTTGTTATTTTTTATGCTGAATGAGAAAACAAATTTATCTGAGTAAAAAAATAGTATGTGCTTGGATGTTTGTAATTGATTAGATCTTAATCCAGATTTTGTTACGGTCAGAAAATATCTTGCCTGAAAGTTTAGTCTTTCAGATTAGCCTGTTTTCTGTTGTTTCATGGAAAAAAGTTCTTTTTGTATAATCAGTGAAAGAACTTCTGTTGAAGAAAGCAAAGCCCTGTATATTCTTTCCCCTTCCTTGAAATATTTTTGCCTTTTAGTGTAAAGCATATGCAGTATTTCATCACATTCATTAGAAAGCCAAGTTTTAATAACATTCGAAAAATGGCATGGGCAGTAGAAAGAAGTTTTGGGGGCCTTTATTTTAACTTGCTTTTATCCTTAGGCTGAACAAGTTATTGCATGCATAGTCAGTCTACTGTAAAACTCAGTCAACATGCAAAGATGTATCTCTATAGGCTTGAATTATATTTGTAAATAATATATAAGTTACATGTATTTGATTTGGCAAAGATGAGACTTAATGCATGTTGTGCTGTGGCTCCATCATTGTGAGCTACAGATTTTTATTGTGTTGTTTCTGTCAGAGTTAGCATTTCCAAGGAAACCGCTTTACTTAGCAGGGTGTTGCTTGACAGAATGCTTTGTGGCCACTACCAGTCTTCTGACCTTCAGACATTGCAACATTCTCGTGGGTCCTCTCCCAAGTGCTTTTTTTGGTGATTTAAGAACACTTTCTGCAAACTTTCTGAACATACGAGGAAGCTTGGTGCCTTCCCTGAATAGATAACAGTCCTTAAGAATGAGACAGGGAAAAGAGTATACAGTCAGAAGAAAGTTTCGTTGGAAATGGCTGTTCTAGCTATTGGGACAAAACTGTGTTTTTATTATTTAAAAAATCATCAGTTGTTAATTTACTCTGAAGAATTACTAAACTCTGAGGTCTTGCTTTAAAATTATTCTAAGAAACAGTTTGAATTAAATATTTACCCCTTTTTTCTGCTATTAACTGAAGGGCTGATATTTTATTAGATACCAAGGTTTTATGCTCCCAGTGCTATTTGCCTTAGCTTTAAAGAGCATTTTATTTGAAAACAAACAAAAAGTTATGAAAAATGTTTTTAGTTACAGATTTCTTTTTTTTTAATTGGGTTCTTTGGTTTTAGATATCCGGCTACGCAAACTGGCTGGGGAAAAAGAGGAATTACTGTCACAGGTAACACAAGCTATTAATTTTTAAAAATAGACCTTTGTATATCCTTTTGCAAACTACTAATATATTGGCAATAATCAAATATTAAGTACCAAAGGTGCTTAAGCACTAAAGCAAAATAAAATACTCCTTACCTGGCTGGCTACCAGGAATTACCAGCTCCTCTCACTAGTTTCCTTATCCATGTGACTTTAATCTTGGTGGATTAAGAACCCACATTTCACCAACTGGTTAGTTGAAATCTAGGTTGTTGGTGATCTACTATCAGTGCATGTATTTATAATTGTTATTCCTTTCATTTTTGTTTTGTGTAGAAAGACTAAAGTCACTAAAATTACTTATAAATTCAAGTAGCCCTTCTGTATTGCTGAGTGGTACTGTTTCTGTGATCATTTCAATTACTCAAATAGAAATTTAGTATTATCAAAGTAGTTGTATTTTAACACAGTTCAATATTGAGAAGAGAGTACTGAAGAAAACATGGAGCCATTGAACGATTGCTAGAAATACCATAGGTTTTGTGTTCCTATTCGAGTACATTCCATATCTAAAGTGATGTTGTCAACGTTTGCATTTGATGGGAATGTACCCTAATTTTAGTACAGATACTTGGTTTAGAATGCAAATAAATTTTAGTATTAAATACAAGGGTATAAATACAAGCATATAAAAATGTATACACATGTTTATCACCACATAGTTTTAAAAAACAGCGTTAAAATATTTGTTATGAATGGCAGTTTTGCAAGTATACAACAGTACCATACAGCTAATGGTATTTTGAGAGTCAAAAGAAGTAGTTCCCACTTCTTGTAAATTCCAGACACACAAGACATAGCTGAGGAATCTGTGTTGACATGCACTCACCCAGCAATGGGGAGGGGGAGTTTTAGCCACAGGTCTCAGGGACTGGTTTTCCTGCCTCTTCTTCATCGAGACACTTACAGAGCTGCCTCAGTCAGTGGCATCTCAGGACTGCTTTGCCTTTTTCCCACTGAACATTTAGATACACAACTACTAAACTTGCGGGAGTCTTTTTCACAGAAGAACACTTCTTTTTCAGGTTAGAAAACTGAAGATGCAGTTGGAAGAAGAACGACAGAAATATTCTAAAAGTGATGGCATGAATCCAGACATCATAGGCTTAGAGAATGGTTCTGACTTGCAACTAATTGAAATGCAGAGTAGGTATATGGTTACTATTCAAAAGTATTCTTACTGGGGAGAGGAAACAGACTTTTCTGGCTCCTTTTCCTATATTGTGGTGTGGTAGCAGTATTGGAATGAATATATTATTGTGCACCTAGTTTTTTGTAGACACTTCTCACTGCAAAGTAGCTTAAAAGTCTGCCTCTTCCAGTGTTGAATAACTATATTCTGAGAAGTTATTTTCCAGTTGATGACCTTGACTAGAATGGGGGCTGCTACTCAAAACAGTTTCTGGTTTAGGTGATAGGATTTCAGCTGGAATAGTCTGTTAATGTAGTCTACCTGATTTTTTCTTTATTTATTTTGTTGAATCTTTGATAATCTTAAAGACTTATTCTTTGAAGCAAACCATGAAAAATTATTCAAGTTTAACACAATATTCAGTGTTGCTTCATAGAAGCACGAAGCGACTTTTCACTTCAAGCAAGCTATTGCTCCAGCTGATAACTTTACTGGTTTGACAAACAGTCATTTAATGTGGTTGTGGCAGTGAACGTGAACAGAGTACTGGCAATATCAGGGCTAAAATATAGCACCAAAATAATGTACCATGTTCCTTGGAGTTTGTCAGACAGATTCAAGCCTTGTGCTGCATATCATTCAAATGTTGTTACAGATGTCTATGCTAAATGATGCTGGTATTATTTCTGTTGTGCTTTGACCCATCTTAGTGTGTGCTGGTTATTGTGTTTTCTTTTTTTTTGAGAGAGGAGTTTGCTGATCTAAATGTGTTTTGAAAGGTGTGTATCTCAGAGAACTGAGAGATAATGCAATTCTTACAGAGACAGTAATTGTTTTCTCTGAATAACAGGGAAATTATTTCCTTTTCATACTCTGAAAAAGATTTCTGAAAGCACATCTACCTCTTTCATCCTGTATACGGGTTACTCAATAAAATGGTCTTTTTAGTGGTTTCTAGAGTAAAAGGGAAACTGCCAGTTTATAGAGTTGCTTTGAGTGATATATTCCTGTCAATTTTTATCTAGGAGATGCCAACAGACAAATTAGTGAATACAAATTTAAGCTTTCAAAAGCTGAACAAGATATTACTACCTTGGAACAAAATGTAAGTGTGTCTTAATATTTATTGTTATCATTACATTTGCTCTGTACAGTTGCACAATACTTTTTTCAACAAAACTATGAAAATGTATTTCCTTATTTGATTACTGTTTGTTCTTTACTTTGCACATAATGGCACTATATTTGTATTTTTATCCATATTTCCTTCAATACGTGTGCATAGTCTAACCATAAGAGAAAATCTGGAGTGAATTTACTCAGATGTCAATGTACAACAGAATATAAAGAGGAAGCTACTAGTTCAAGGAAATCAGTTTATGTAGCTTAATTACTTGCAAAAAATTTGTATAGACTTTGGACGGTATATAATTTACTCTCTGAAATTCAAGAGTCTGTTTTTATAAGTATAGATATACATACCCTCACCCATTTATACTTCATGATTGTAACTCAGAGCATGGTATTAAAAGTTCAGCATCTCTATAGGTCATCTCAAAATCTCATAAATGATTGCAGTTTGAATCAGAGATGTGCAGTTGTTCTGTCCTGCACAGCAGCAGGCTAGTAGCCTGTCCTATGGGTTTGAGGGTAGCAGGGATCTATACGTACAATCCAGCAAGTGGGCTTTAACACTGGCAGATTGCAGCAGGACTTGTCTCAAGCCCTCTCTTCACTGCTGAACTGTGTGCTTGATTTCAAGACCTCTTGCATCGTGCCCTGATAAGTCTCCAACTTCTCATATGGTCTCTGCTTTCCAACTTTGCAGCTTTTGTTTTTAAGCCCCTGTATCTCTTGATTTTTTTTTTCTTCTTCCAACTCTTCGCTCTGTGTAGTTCCTCAGCCTTCTTTATCTTCTCAGCTGTGTCTTAATGCTATGTTGCATTCTCTGCTGTTTCTTGTGACTCTCACTAGGGAGGGACAGGCAGTGAAGGGTATTCCAAATTTCTGCCCACAAACTGTTTTAGTGCTTTATTAGTTCTTTTAAACATTCTTTGAAATTATGGCTGATGCGAACACACACATCCTTTTCCCAGAGGGGGATTGTATGGATAATTCACAGGTTGCCTTGTGTTACGGTACCTTTTCAGAAAATTAAAACCAGCTGGTGGCAGGTGAGCTTGGGGTGGAACACCTCAGTAACTGTTCCTTTTATCTTGTTTGGGTCTGCAGATTGCACGACTTGAAGGGCAGGTTACAAGGTATAAAAATGCAGCAGAAAATGCAGAAAAAGTAGAAGATGAACTCAAAGCTGAAAAGAGGAAGCTTCAGCGAGAGGTAACTGACTTGATTTCCTTTTCAGCTGTATACTCCATGCTCCTTTCAGTCTTGAACTGCTCTTTTGCTCCCAAGTTCTGTGTTGTTTGTAGTCTTTGGTTACAGCTTTTAAGTGTTTTTTGAGGAGACAGTCAAGTCTGTCAGTGTTACATTCAAAAGACAACTGTAGCATATAAAAGTAATACTAATTACAATTCAATGTAGTCCTACCTTGAAAAGAAGGATCTAAATTGTTATTTTCTTCTAAATATGATAACTTTTACTGTTTTATACTAATCCTTCCATAAAAATTACTGGAAAGCTGAATGTTCCCTGTGTCAAGTGCCAGATTGGGAAGTTTCCATTGCGCACCTCACAGGGAGCTGGGAAGAAGCTGTATTTGACTGAGCTGTTGAACATGCTTGCTTAAGAGCTGCTGTGTGACTATCCTGATACCTGCTACCCATGGGAATATATATCCATGGGCAAGTGAGAGTGGAGGAGAGGATTTCACCTTTAAATAGCATGTGATAGGAAGTTGCAGGCACCTAGTTCTTTTGGAATTAGTACATGTTTTATGTTTCAATTGCCTCTTGATTTTGTATTTTAGCAGTTGAATTCCAGTTCATCTGACTGCAGTAATGAGTATTGTGTCTTAGCTTACATGGTACTCTTGTAAAGCATGTAATACTTGTATTCTTGTTTGTTTCCTCTGTCAAAGCTCAAGAACAGCAGAAAGTCCAAGTAAACTTCAAAGGATAATAACTTTTGCTTTCATTTTATAGTTAAGAACAGCACTGGATAAGATAGAAGAGATGGAGATGACCAATAGCCACTTAATGAAGAGGCTGGAGAAGATGAAGGCGAATAGGACTGCGCTTTTATCACAACAGTGAAGTGGAAATTGAAAATATGATGCACTGCTCCTTGAATAACTAGCCCCTAGCTTGTTTTTAAATACAGACTTTTATTGGCACAAATTATTTGAACACTGAGCTGTTCACTGGTGTTTTAGTTTCATAATTAAATGGCATACTTCTTTTTGTAACTTATGAGAGAATGAAATGTAGTTTGAATTCCCATGTGAATGACAGCAATTTTTCTGTAGCGTTTGATTCCAGAGTCAGAGCTGGAGCACAATGCTGTATGTGCAACTTTGCAATAGAAAATGGTTTTACAGCTGTGGAATCCAGTTTACTCACTGTCTCTTTTGGCTGCTTTAATGATGCTTGATGCTCGGAGACAACTGCATGAATTCAAGAAAACACTGTATTACTGTATTATAAACTAACATATATTTGCTCAAGACATCACACAGCACAAGTGCCTTTTATCTCGTGCAATTTAGACTTCATTGTTGAAATAACCTTTGAAATCAGATAACATTTTATTTTAAAATACATCTGGGGTATTCACTAGACTTTATACATTTTGAAAATGCATTTTTGTAAAATATTTAAATTTATAAGAAAAGAACAGGGAGTGTATATAAAAATCTGCTTTTTTTGCATGGGCACATCTGAGTTCTAGGTAATTTTGTCAAATACTAGGCCCTGATACTCTTAGTATTAAGAGTATAGATTTTAAAACTTTTGTTGTACACCATCAAATTATGTCATCTGCTTAAGTGTGAATTGAAATTTTAGGGTGGGAGGAAGGGGTGGGAAATGTGGCTAAGGAGTTTATTAAATGGACACTTTACTGACCAAAACCAGACATTCTGTGTTTTCTTTAAAAACAGAGATAAATCTGTGCAGAATAGGAAAATCTGATCTTTCTCTTCTTTTTAAAAAGTATCCTTTTGGGTTTGAAATAGACTAAGGTCATTGAGGATTTTTCTTTTTCCGATTTTTCTTGTCTTGGCCTGTTACTCTTTGACAGTGATGCCATGGAGAAGGGCGGGCAGTACAAGGAAGAAGGTGCTTTCTGGAATGGTGTGGTCTTTTTATCTGTGGTGGTATGGTTTTTGTCCTATGCTCTGTAGACATTGAATTGCTGTTAAGAACTTGCACTCTTCAAGCTGGCACATCACAAGTGGGAAATGAATGGCACCTGCGGTGGCAGTTGTGGAGCATTTGAAGTGGCACTGCCCCCGTGTTGGACTTCCCATGAGGCCAGCAGGAGCCCACCATTTGATCTGAATCATTCTTTCAGATTTGTATCAGATGCTTTCCTATTGCAACTTCCTGTTGCCCTGTTTCTCAAAGCAAGCCATATTCTAGAGCCATTGCAACGCAGAAGGTTAGTACTCCTGCTTATACCAGAGCTACCTTCCAGAAACAGCGTGGTCTTAAACAGTGTGGCACCGAAGCTTTGTCTCTTTTGGTTTAGGATACCTCTTTGACTTGGAAAATAAAATGTTTTTCTTATTGAGAAACCTCTGTGTAAGTAGCAGATCTCCCTCTAGGCTTACTCATTAAATGGGAGACAGTTGTAGTTTGGTGATGACGTAGATTATTGTGCTGTTAAGTTTCTGATTCCTGGTGCGTGCTTGCTCAGAAGAAACTGTCAGGGTCGTGATTAATTGTGTATTCTGAAGATAAAGGGATACTTCAGGGGTTTTGAAAGTTTTCTCATGTGCAAAACTCGGCTAAAGCCTCATTTGGCACATAGTGGGGAGCACCTCTCCTTCTAGTTCACTTTGCTTACACCACCCTGTTGAAGCTGGATGTTTTATGGCACAGGGAAAACTGATTTCAGTACTAAACCATGGCAATCAGATAAGGGGCTCCTAACTCAGTTACCAGCCTACTGCAAAACTTTGTCTGGAGCACCAGTGCATCCTTTCTAAGTATTAAGATTTGTAGTAACCAGAACATAAGATTGCCAACATGTAGACTAACTGAATACTGCTGGATTCTGTGATCCAGTATGACTCTTAAGGCAATTGAAAGAACTAAGAGGGAGCAGCCCTAGGAAGAATTAATTGTAAACCTTTCATCTTTTTCTGAAACAAGTCTTACCAGAGGGAAATGTAATTATATTAATCAGATAATTTCTGAGATGCCTGCAAGGGGACAGAGATGGTTTTAGTGCCTCTTGTGTGCAGGGTTATGCCCACTTACGGCCCCCAAAAAGGTGCAGAGTTAGTGGCTGTAAGGGTGGTTGTAACATGGCATAATACCAGGGTTTTGGGTTTTTATTGAGGACAGTTTTTAACACCCAGCACTGTTTGGTCCCTCAAGCTTCTGGTGGGTTGGTTTGTTGTATGGGCAGTTGTTGGGGCAGCATTGAAAGATTTGGTGTTTGTTTAGGGAAAAGACAGCAGCACCAGAAAGGTAATGAGAAACTATGGTTTCCCCCGTTTGTCTTTTGTGGGACATTTCCCCACAGTCTCTGGGCTCCTAAATCATAGCATTTTTGCTGCCACACTCCACCAAGACGGTGAGTCCTGTGTGTCAGAAAAGAGCTGCTCACTGACAACCAGGAGTCCCTACCTGCATACTCTTGATTTACACACACACACAGAGAGTAAAAAGCGATACAGGGGAGTTAAGTCAGCTCGAGCAGAACTAACACCACCCCCTCCCCGTGGCAGCCCCTCGGGCCCGGCCGCGCGGGCCCAGCCGCGGTTAGAGCGGTCAGAGCGGTCAGAGCGGCGCGCTGGGCCAGGCCGTGCGGCTGGCCGGGGATCCTGGGCCTACCCCGCCCTCGTGCGGTTCCGGCAGCTCTCGCAGCCTGTTTGCAGCTCCCTGTTGGGCGGCCGTTGTGGGTGTTCTCTGCCTCTTGTTTGTGTAGGTAGGAGTTGGCCATGTCCGAGCGGAAGATGCATAGAAGGAGTCAGGCCAACTTGAAAGAGCGAGTAAGAGAGAGAAACATGAGAAGGACAGGGCTGGGGAAAGCCTATGAGCCGTTGTCTGCAGGTGCAAATGGCGAAAGTAAGATGTTTCTGTTGCCTGTGTAGCAGTTTGGTGCTGGTTGCTGCCAATTTCCAATGTGTGACAATGGATGGTTCTCTTCCAGGCAGGCACAGTGTGCATCTGAAGAGCATCCTAGCCAACAACAGAGCTCTAGCCCGGGCTTTGCAGGAGGAGAAGCTCAAAGTGAGACGAGCTCGAGATGCCTTTCTGTGTTTGAAGAGGGAGAATGAATGCCTGAAGTTTGAGTTCTTTTATTTAACAATGCTGCTTCAATCATGGCAAATGTGGGCACCTGCTGAGGTATTTTGAATGCTGTCTTTGTTTTGCAGTGATGGGGAGTGTCAGAATTGTCTCCAGATAAGCCTGAGCTCTGTTTCTGAACTTCAGTGGCTCCTGACAAGTCAGTTAGCTACACAGGAGATACCTTGTTGGGTTTCCTATGGTTCTAGTCATTAATAGCTCCCATTTTTTTTGCTTATCTTGCTTCGGCAAGGAGAGTCCTTTTAGTGGACAGTCACAGAATCATGGAGTCATAGAATAGTTAGGGTTGGAAAGGATGTTAAGATCAGGTCATTAAGAACAGTCTGTGACACCTGATTTACATAAAGTTCTGTTTTCTCATAACATGATTGCAAAATAGGTATGTGTGGAGCTGATATAACTGCAACAACATGGTTTGCACTGTGCCTCCATTAGAGAAGTGTGTCAGCCTTATTTGGGCTCCCATCTTCAGAAGCTGCTTGGAGATTAATATAGTCCGTTGCTGGGCTGAAAAGGTCAGGAGGGTTGTGATGTGGGGGCATCCTGCCTTCCCATCTTTGTCTGGATCTTTACGGCTCTTTGCCAGGGAGGCTTCTCCTTTCTGAGTTTTCCCCTCCATTGCTTTCTTCCTGCAGACATCCACACAGTTCACCCGTGTAGGGAAAGAGAAGGGCTTTAAATGTGGCGGAATTTGGGTTTCTTTTCTGTCCTGCTGCCAGTCATCTGGAGCCTTGCCCTCCAGGGGGCCATCAGTCTTGTTCCAGCTGCTTACACTGAAACCTTTCTTGTTGGCAGAGTGCGAGAACGTTTCCTCCAGTGCCTCTAATGATTCCTGTTGTCACTGGACAGGACCATTGTGTGTAAGTAGCTCTGATTAATTTGTCTTGTCACTTCTCTTACAGTTTTCTTACAGTGAAGGCAGGGGAGGCATATGTAATGCATCAGAAATAATTCCTTGTCCTAAAAGCAATGTGTTTTTCCCCTCCCTAGGGGAGTTCCACGACATAATGTGGAACATGAAGAATTCCCTGAGAGTGAGATGAAAGCCACAGCAGATGACAATAGGCCAGCTGGCTGCTTTTCAAAGGACTTCTGTGAATCTGCCAGTGCTGATGCTGTAAAGGAAACAGACCCAGAGTGTGGTAAGGAAATCTACTGGGCATTCCTCACTCCTGAAGCAAGGAGGAGGACTGTGTGCCTCTATCTGCATCATGAACACTGCTTTGTAGTAATGGTGAGACAATACACGAGAATGAAGGATTTTTGTATAGTGGTGTCTGTGGTTGTACTAACTGTAATGAGGAGCAGGCTTGAATATCAGCAAAGACCAAAAAAGTTTTGAGTGAAGATGCTTGGCAGAATGGGAAATGAATTTGAAAGGTCTGACTTTTGTATCCCTGCCTCCTAGTGACCTGATCTACTGAACAGCTGACTAGAGAAATCTCCTTTTCTGTGGTCTGCTAGTGTTTATGATGAGCTACTTTTTCAAAGCCCAATATTTGAAAAGTCTTAATTGGACAATGAGTGTAAGCTGCAGCTCTAGATTCCTGGAGTCCTGCTGTTAGGACTCACGTTTTCCTGTGAGGTGAATACCTAAACTGTAGCCTATTTCAGGATGCTTTCGGGAAACTGTATTCACCCGAGCTTACCTTGGTGACCACACATTGGATCTTGCAGATCTTTTTAGAAAGTTGGTCTGGCTGATGGATTTAGAGAGTAAGCAAATCTTCTCTTGGTTGTTAATCTGTATTTCAGTAGGACTCTGTTCTGATTTGCTTGTTGATTTCCCTTCCCTCACTCCCTTGTTAACATAGTGCCAGAGCTGGAGACTGTTTCTTCAAATGAAGAATGTGGGCTATCTGGCGATGTGTTCCGCAAAAGTATGTCCATCAGGCAGTGCTATTCAGAGGTAAGGGCTCATGCTGTGTGTTCTTAGGGTTTTGCCTTTCCAGAGATATCTTGTTCATAGCCTTTTCCGGACAGGAGGAAGTTAGACTTGGGGACAGCCTAGAAGAACAATGTTAAAAACCCAAATCCTGGTATTTCTCAACAAAATAAGAGCAGAGAACTGGAGCTAGTGTTGAGCAGATGCTCAAGTGAATTCAATTGGCTGACTTGAGAGAAGCTAAGTTAAAGGTTCTGGAGTAAGGAGACTGCAGTATCAGGAGAGAAAGCTGGGAGATGCTGAAGAAGCCTCCAGACCAAGCCTTAGCAAAGGTGAAGACTTTACAAGGAAAGCCAGAGATGCTGGCTGAGTCATCATGGTGAGGGTGTATCTGAGACCTGACCACAGGTTGGGCAGTGTTGGTGAAGATTCAGATGGTGGCCTTCAGGTGCCCCATTATCATAAACTGTCCAACAAGAGCAGCTGGGTGGCCAGAACGGGAGCATGGGGAGAGTATGTAAGACCTGTGCTTGAGATGTGTCTGGCAGCTCCCAAACAGGAATTCCAGAGTGAAAGAGAGATGGAGCATCCTACAGCAAGGGCAAAGCTGGTTGGGAAGGGGAGTTTGGAAAGGGCTGTATCCTGATCGATTTCTGTTCTCTCTTGACTGTTTCAAGCTAGCTTCTCTTTAGAAATACACATGAAATGGTGCTGGAAACCTGATAGTACAGTGCCCATTTATGCAACCACTTGTTTTGTCAGCAAAAGAGGTAACTGAAGCTGGATACTGTGTGAAAAACTGCTTAAAACCAAACTATACTGTGTTGTTGTCTCTTTGAATAGGGGAGTCTTTCATGCCACCTTGTCAATGTCTTCACAGTGTTAACTGCATGGCATGCTTCTGCCTGAGCATTGGGATGCAGTTTTTCACTCATCACATGAAAGGTCACCTCTGAAATGCAGGCAATTTGATCCCAGGGACTGCGTGTATGTGTCCTACTTTTCAGCTTAATGCAGTGAAGTGCTATGTTCTTAAAAAGCAGGAGTTATTTGGGGCAGAAAGTTCCAATATGGCCTTTGAAGAAGGGTCTGGTATTCGTAGTACAAAACAGTTCAGAGCAGGATCAAATATGGTAGTTAGGAGTTGAACTGTTGCTGTAAATAGAGGAGGGAGTGGAAGATGAAATAGAATCCAAACTTAGTTTTGCTGCATTATTTTTGCAGGAGTCGTAGAGGAGATGCGTTTGCAGATGAATATTATCTGACAGCTCCAATTTTCCAGCAGAAAAAAAGACTTTCTTGAAATAAAGGAGAAATGTTTTCATTATCACTGAGGTGTCCTGTCATTCTTAACACCAAGGCAGTTCATGATGGGTAAAAATGTCTCCTACAAATACTGTCACATCTGCACATCTGATACTAGGGACACAGGCAAAAGGTTCTCTTGTTTTCCTTAGTCCAAGGAGTGACTTGCTTTTAAGGAGATAGCTTTTGTGTGTAAGGCATAAGGTGACTTTGTTACAGAGGTGAATCTATTTGAACTCTTCTGGGAGAAATAATGTTTGTTATTTCTCATCTTAGTAAAATCCCAGACGGGTTGCAAGAAAGGCAGCCTCACTTGTCAATCACACTTGTTATGTATAGGAAACATTCTCCATTACACTGGTGCATTTGTAGAATTTATTCTCAGTGTAGCTTGTGAAAAGTCACTGAAAAAATGCTATGAATAATTTGAGACACATAATATCTACAGTTGCTTAAAAATGCACTAATGCTGTGTTGAAGATATGCTTCAGGATGTGGTGCATATAAAGGAGAGGTGGGAGATGCTGGAATGAATATGGTCTGAGCAACCTTATCTTGGCTGCCCTGTGTAGATACACCTCATTAACAGCTTGTTAATGGTATAGTTGCATATTTTATTGTCAGGAGGTCACTGGTGGTTTGGGAATGAGAACCCTGCAGAAGATGCTGTATTTGAGGAGATAATGCTCTTGAACATACCTTGTCTGTTCTGTTGCACCTTGTACTTAAGGCTTGAGAGGCCCCTATGTTCTTAACGCAATCCCTAATATCTTGAGGGATGGTAAATTGCATGTGGATCAAGGATTGGAAGTAGTTATGCCACCTGTGTGGCTTTCTCTGTCTACAAATATAGGAGGAAGTTTTTCTCTGAACCTCCTTTATGAATAGAGGTGTTTTTGTGTAAAAAAATTCTATCTCAACCAAAATGGAAGAATCTCTATTAATGGGGTCTGTTTTAAATCCTGAACATACGAACAGTAGCAGCTTTGCTGAAGCAGCTCAGCATCTGTCCAAAGTCAGAGATACATGGCTGTATCGGTTTCTCTTCCCATCAAGTTTTCCTGATTTCTACGCACATAACACTTGTGCATAGTGTTGTGGATAGGAAGGATGTTTTGGGAAGGTTAGCAGCATCACAGGGCACTGCCAGGCACATGGTATCTGTGTCTGCAGTGTAATTCTGGGCCTCTGTGTCCATTCTGTCTGGTGGGTGAGCTTACTTCCCCTTCTGTTTCTGCTGCTGTTCTTCAAATATGGGAAAGGTGTATCTTTAAGTGGAACACACAATGATGCAATGATTAAGGATCTCTGCAGTGTTTATAACGTACTTAGAAAATGTGTATGTGTTAGGAAATAAAAGGGCATCACATGAGTTCTTTTTGATGTGACAGCTAATGTTTTCACACATGTTGAATTATTTGTATTTTAAATGGCACATTTACGTATTAGTAAATCAGTTTTCTGCTGAAAGTAAGAGTAATCCATTAAAACATTGCTCTGGATTCTAGATGATGATTAAAATTCAGCATACTGCAATTGTTATGTGGGGCAATTACAGTACAGAGGTGTACACCTTCATTTCTTTCTTGGTATCAGTCCATTCCTAAACATTTACACATGACATAAGATTTAGTGGATAATTTTTTTGGCAAAACGTACACTTTGCAGTTGCTGTATGGTTAGGATTATTTGTAATGCTTGCAGTATTGAATTTGAATGAATAACGGAATGAGAAGCTGCAAGTGAAAGTGTCTGATTAACTGCCAGGTAACACAGCTCCAGCATAGGTAGGCAAATCCATCTATGTCCGTATTGCTTCAATCCTTGTTTGTACTAGTAGTGCTGCTTTTTTCTCCCCCTCTCAAACTGACTGCTTTGGGTTTAGTAAAGGGTGATTGTAGTAATTAAGCAGCTAGTAAATAAACTAGTATTTCTAAGTGGACAAGCTCATATATCCAAGGTCTTCTATGAAATATGTTTTCTACTTCTATACCCTGTAAGAGGTAGAGAAATTAGTTCAATGGATGTAATGCTTTAGGATCTTTGCCAGTTGAGTTCCAACAAATTTTATTTCTGGTCACAGAATGCCTGTAATAAGACAAATCACTCTTGGTATTTGATTTAGTTTTTCAAAATCTACCAAAAATAGAATCCACTAAATGAAAATCTATAATAGAAGCTACTGAGACTTTCCTGGGAAAAAACTCGCATGACAAACATGCAGCAATGAGGCTAGATATGACTTGTAGAAAGTAGTTATCAGAGATGTACATTAATATACATTAAATACCCCTTTTAATTTCTTTACTTTTGTTGAGCTCTTTGTATTTACTTGTAGAAAATCTCTCTGCTCGCTGTCATATGCTTTTTCTCTGTGCCGTTCTTTTTCTTGCCATCTGCCTGAACCCAGGCCCTAGAAAGACAGAAAGATTACTTTGACTGCATTAAGAATGAGCGAGATGAGCTCAGAGAGGAGTTGGCTGACCTGAAGGAAACAATGAAGAGAGGAGAGGTATGTTTGTAGCGGTTACTTTGCAGTAACAGAAATCCAGGAGTGGGGCATGAAATCAAGGTCAATGAAAAAGGAACCATGGTTACTACTCTTGTGCAGTCTCAAAACCTGACCTTAGGGTAGGATAAATGGTTCAATAGTTGTAAGTTTTTCAATCAACTTGAAAAGCTTTTTATGAACTGTTCTGTCTGATTATGTTTTAGCACTGCTCTTGTATGAGTAGGTTGTTTGTTTTTTTTCTTTTGTGATTTTAGAAACATGGATTAGTTATAATCCCAGATGGCACACCAAACGGTGATGTAAACCATGAATCAGTGGTTGGTGCTATAACAGTTGTATCACAGGAAGCTGCTCAAGTCTTGGAATCTGCAGGAGAAGGACCACTAGGTAAAAATACCCTACCATACTTTGTCATAGAGTGTTTGAAGTCTTTGTTTCCTTCCTGTTCACAGTGATTTACAGCCACAGAAAGATACCTGTGATGTTTCTGGAATATACAACTTTCAAGGTTGTTATTTTTTATGCTGAATGAGAAAACAAATTTATCTGAGTAAAAAAATAGTATGTGCTTGGATGTTTGTAATTGATTAGATCTTAATCCAGATTTTGTTACGGTCAGAAAATATCTTGCCTGAAAGTTTAGTCTTTCAGATTAGCCTGTTTTCTGTTGTTTCATGGAAAAAAGTTCTTTTTGTATAATCAGTGAAAGAACTTCTGTTGAAGAAAGCAAAGCCCTGTATATTCTTTCCCCTTCCTTGAAATATTTTTGCCTTTTAGTGTAAAGCATATGCAGTATTTCATCACATTCATTAGAAAGCCAAGTTTTAATAACATTCGAAAAATGGCATGGGCAGTAGAAAGAAGTTTTGGGGGCCTTTATTTTAACTTGCTTTTATCCTTAGGCTGAACAAGTTATTGCATGCATAGTCAGTCTACTGTAAAACTCAGTCAACATGCAAAGATGTATCTCTATAGGCTTGAATTATATTTGTAAATAATATATAAGTTACATGTATTTGATTTGGCAAAGATGAGACTTAATGCGTGTTGTGCTGTGGCTCCATCATTGTGAGCTACAGATTTTTATTGTGTTGTTTCTGTCAGAGTTAGCATTTCCAAGGAAACCGCTTTACTTAGCAGGGTGTTGCTTGACAGAATGCTTTGTGGCCACTACCAGTCTTCTGACCCTTCAGACATTGCAACATTCTCGTGGGTCCTCTCCCAAGTGCTTTTTTTGGTGATTTAAGAACACTTTCTGCAAACTTTCTGAACATACGAGGAAGCTTGGTGCCTTCCCTGAATAGATAACAGCATCCTTAAGAATGAGACAGGGAAAAGAGTATACAGTCAGAAGAAAGTTTCGTTGGAAATGGCTGTTCTAGCTATTGGGACAAAACTGTGTTTTTATTATTTAAAAAATCATCAGTTGTAAATTTGCTCTGAAGATTAAACTCTGAGGTCTTGCTTTAAAATTATTCTAAGAAACAGTTTGAATTAAATATTTACCCTTTCTGCTATTTACTGAAGGGCTGATATTTTATTAGATACCAAGGTTTTATGCTCCCAGTGCTATTTGCCTTAGCTTTAAAGAGCATTTTATTTGAAAACAAACAAAAAGTTATGAAAAATGTTTTTAGTTACAGATTTCTTTTTTTTTAATTGGGTTCTTTGGTTTTAGATATCCGGCTACGCAAACTGGCTGGGGAAAAAGAGGAATTACTGTCACAGGTAACACAAGCTATTAATTTTTAAAAATAGACCTTTGTATATCCTTTTGCAAACTACTAATATATTGGCAATAATCAAATATTAAGTACCAAAGGTGCTTAAGCACTAAAGCAAAATAAAATACTCCTTACCTGGCTGGCTACCAGGAATTACCAGCTCCTCTCACTAGTTTCCTTATCCATGTGACTTTAATCTTGGTGGATTAAGAACCCACATTTCACCAACTGGTTAGTTGAAATCTAGGTTGTTGGTGATCTACTATCAGTGCATGTATTTATAATTGTTATTCCTTTCATTTTTGTTTTGTGTAGAAAGACTAAAGTCACTAAAATTACTTATAAATTCAAGTAGCCCTTCTGTATTGCTGAGTGGTACTGTTTCTGTGATCATTTCAATTACTCAAATAGAAATTTAGTATTATCAAAGTAGTTGTATTTTAACACAGTTCAATATTGAGAAGAGAGTACTGAAGAAAACATGGAGCCATTGAACGATTGCTAGAAATACCATAGGTTTTGTGTTCCTATTCGAGTACATTCCATATCTAAAGTGATGTTGTCAACGTTTGCATTTGATGGGAATGTACCCTAATTTTAGTACAGATACTTGGTTTAGAATGCAAATAAATTTTAGTATTAAATACAAGGGTATAAATACAAGCATATAAAAATGTATACGCATGTTTATCACCACATAGTTGTAAAAAACAGCGTTAAAATATTTGTTATGAATGGCAGTTTTGCAAGTATACAACAGTACCATACAGCTAATGGTATTTTGAGAGTCAAAAGAAGTAGTTCCCACTTCTTGTAAATTCCAGACACACAAGACATAGCTGAGGAATCTGTGTTGACATGCACTCACCCAGCAATGGGGAGGGGGAGTTTTAGCCACAGGTCTCAGGGACTGGTTTTCCTGCCTCTTCTTCATCGAGACACTTACAGAGCTGCCTCAGTCAGTGGCATCTCAGGACTGCTTTGCCTTTTTCCCACTGAACATTTAGATACACAACTACTAAACTTGCGGGAGTCTTTTTCACAGAAGAACACTTCTTTTTCAGGTTAGAAAACTGAAGATGCAGTTGGAAGAAGAACGACAGAAATATTCTAAAAGTGATGGCATGAATCCAGACATCATAGGCTTAGAGAATGGTTCTGACTTGCAACTAATTGAAATGCAGAGTAGGTATATGGTTACTGTTCAAAAGTATTCTTACTGGGGAGAGGAAACAGACTTTTCTGGCTCCTTTTCCTATATTGTGGTGTGGTAGCAGTATTGGAATGAATATATTATTGTGCACCTAGTTTTTTGTAGACACTTCTCACTGCAAAGTAGCTTAAAAGTCTGCCTCTTCCAGTGTTGAATAACTATATTCTGAGAAGTTATTTTCCAGTTGATGACCTTGACTAGAATGGGGGCTGCTACTCAAAACAGTTTCTGGTTTAGGTGATAGGATTTCAGCTGGAATAGTCTGTTAATGTAGTCTACCTGATTTTTTCTTTATTTATTTTGTTGAATCTTTGATAATCTTAAAGACTTATTCTTTGAAGCAAACCATGAAAAATTATTCAAGTTTAACACAATATTCAGTGTTGCTTCATAGAAGCATGAAGCGACTTTTCACTTCAAGCAAGCTATTGCTCCAGCTGATAACTTTACTGGTTTGACAAACAGTCATTTAATATGGTTGTGGCAGTGAACGTGAACAGAGTACTGGCAATATCAGGGCTAAAATATAGCACCAAAATAATGTACCATGTTCCTTGGAGTTTGTCAGACAGATTCAAGCCTTGTGCTGCATATCATTCAAATGTTGTTACAGATGTCTATGCTAAATGATGCTGGTATTATTTCTGTTGTGCTTTGACCCATCTTGGTGTGTGCTGGTTATTGTGTTTTCTTTTTTTTTGAGAGAGGAGTTTGCTGATCTAAATGTGTTTTGAAAGGTGTGTATCTCAGAGAACTGAGAGATAATGCAATTCTTACAGAGACAGTAATTGTGGTCTCTGAATAACAGGGAAATTATTTCCTTTTCATACTCTGAAAAAGATTTCTGAAAGCACATCTACCTCTTTCATCCTGTATATGGGTTACTCAATAAAATGGTCTTTTTAGTGGTTTCTAGAGTAAAAGGGAAACTGCCAGTTTATAGAGTTGCTTTGAGTGATATATTCCTGTCAATTTTTATCTAGGAGATGCCAACAGACAAATTAGTGAATACAAATTTAAGCTTTCAAAAGCTGAACAAGATATTACTACCTTGGAACAAAATGTAAGTGTGTCTTAATATTTATTGTTATCATTACATTTGCTCTGTACAGTTGCACAATACTTTTTTCAACAAAACTATGAAAACGTATTTCCTTATTTGATTACTGTTTGTTCTTTACCTTGCACATAATGGCACTATATTTGTATTTTTATCCATATTTCCTTCAATACGTGTGCGTAGTCTAACCATAAGAGAAAATCTGGAGTGAATTTACTCAGATGTCAATGTACAACAGAATATAAAGAGGAAGCTACTAGTTCAAGGAAATCAGTTTGTGTAGCTTAATTATTTGCAAAAAAATTGTATAGACTTTGGAAGGTATATAATTTACTCTCTGAAATTCAAGAGTCTGTTTTTATAAGTATAGATATACATACCCTCACCCATTTACACTTCATGATTGTAACTCAGAACATGGTATTAAAAGTTCAGCATCTCTATAGGTCATCTCAAAATCTCATAAATGATTGCAGTTTGAATCAGAGATGTGCAGTTGTTCTGTCTTGCATAGCAGCAGGCTAGTAGCCTGTCCTATGGGTTTGAGGGTAGCAAGGATCTGTAAGTACAATCCAGCAAGTGGGCTTTAACACTGGCAGACTGCAGCAGGATTTGTCTCAAGCCCTCTCTTCACTGCTGAACTGTGTGCTTCATCTCAAGACCTCTTGCATCGTGCCCTGATAAGTCTCCAACTTCTCATATGGTCTCTGCTTTCCAACTTTCCAGCTTTTGTTTTTAAGCCCCTGTATTCCCCATCTCTTCATTTATTTTTTTTTCTTCTTCCAACTCTTCACTCTGTGTAGTTCCTCAGCCTTCTTTATCTTCTCAGCTGTGTCTTAATGCTATGTTGCATTCTCTGCTGTTTCTTGTGACCCTCAACAGGGAGGGACAGGCAGTGAAGGGTGTTCCAAATTTCTGCCCACAAACTGTTTTAGTGTTTTATTAGTTATTTTAAACATTCTTTGAAATTATGGCTGATGCAAACACACACATCCTTTTCCCAGAGGGGGATTGTATGGATAATTCACAGGTTGCCTTGTGTTATGGTGGCTTTTCAGAAAATTAAAACCAGCTGGTGGCAGGTGAGCTTGGGGTGGAACACCTCAGTAATTGTTCCTTTTATCTGGTTTGGGTCTGCAGATTGCACGACTTGAAGGGCAGGTTACAAGGTATAAAAATGCAGCAGAAAATGCAGAAAAAGTAGAAGATGAACTCAAAGCTGAAAAGAGGAAGCTTCAGCGAGAGGTAACTGACTAATTTCCTTTTCAGCTGTATACTCCATGCTCCTTTCAGTCTTGACCTGCTCTTTTGCTCCCAAGCTCTGTGTTGTTTGTAGTCTTTGGTTACAGCTTTTAAGTGTTTTTTGAGGAGACAGTCAAGTCTGTCAGTGTTGCGTTCAAAAGACAACTGTAGCATATAAAAGTAATACTAATTACAATTCAGTGTAGTACTACCTTGAAAAGAAGGATCTAAATTGGTATTTTCTTCTAAATATGATAACTTTTACTGTTTTATACTAATCCTTCCATAAAAATTACTGGAAAGCTGAATGTTCCCTGTGTCAGTGCCAGATTGGGAAGTTTCCATTGTGCACCTCACAGGGAGCTGGGAAGAAGCTGTATTTGACTGAGCTGTTGATCATGCTTGCTTAAGAGCTGCTGTGTGACTATCCTGATACCTGCTACCCATGGGAATATATATCCATGGGCAAGTGAGAGTGGAGGAGAGGATTTCACTTTTAAATAGCATGTGATAGGAAGTTGCAGGCACCTAGTTCTTTTGGAATTAGTACATGTTTTATGTTTCAGTTGCTTCTTGATTTTGTATTTTAGCAGTTGAATTCCAGTTCATCTGACTGCAGTAATGAGTATTGTGTCTTAGCTTATATGGTACTCTTGTAAAGCATGTAATACTTGTATTCTTGTTTGTTTCCTCTGTCAAAGCTCAAGAACAGCAGAAAGTCCAAGTAAACTTCAAGGGATAATAACTTTTGCTTTCATTTTATAGTTAAGAACAGCACTGGATAAGATAGAAGAGATGGAGATGACCAATAGCCACTTAATGAAAAGGCTGGAGAAGATGAAGGCGAATAGGACTGCGCTTTTATCTCAACAGTGAAGTGGAAATTGAAAATATGATGCACTGCTCCTTGAATAACTAGCCCCTAGCTTGTTTTTAAATACAGACTTTTATTGGCACAAATTATTTGAACACTGAGCTGTTCACTGGTGTTTTAGTTTCATAATTAAATGGCATACTTCTTTTTGTAACTTATGAGAGAATGAAATGTAGTTTGAATTCCCATGTGAATGACAGCAATTTTTCTGTAGCGTTTGATTCCAGAGTCAGAGCTGGAGCACAATGCTGTATGTGCAACTTTGCAATAGAAAATGGTTTTACAGCTGTGGAATCCAGTTTACTCACTGTCTCTTTTGGCTGCTTTAATGATGCTTGATGCTCGGAGACAACTGCATGAATTCAAGAAAACACTGTATTACTGTATTATAAACTAACATATATTTGCTCAAGACATCACACAGCACAAGTGCCTTTTATCTCGTGCAATTTAGACTTCATTGTTGAAATAACCTTTGAAATCAGATAACATTTTATTTTAAAATACATCTGGGGTATTCACTAGACTTTATACATTTTGAAAATGCATTTTTGTAAAATATTTAAATTTATAAGAAAAGAACAGGGAGTGTATATAAAAATCTGCTTTTTTTGCATGGGCACATCTGAGTTCTAGGTAATTTTGTCAAATACTAGGCCCTGATACTCTTAGTATTAAGAGTATAGATTTTAAAACTTTTGTTGTACACCATCAAATTATGTCATCTGCTTAAGTGTGAATTGAAATTTTAGGGTGGGAGGAAGGGGTGGGAAATGTGGCTAAGGAGTTTATTAAATGGACACTTTACTGACCAAAACCAGACATTCTGTGTTTTCTTTAAAAACAGAGATAAATCTGTGCAGAATAGGAAAGTCTGATCTCTCTGTTCCTTTTCAAAAGTATCCTTTTGGGTTTGAAATAGACTAAGGTCATTGGAGGTTTTTCTTTTTCTGATTTTTCTTGTCTTGGCCTGTTACTCTTTGACAGTGCTGCCATGGAGAAGGGCAGGCAGTACAAGGAAGAAGGTGCTTTCTGGAATGGTGTGGTCTTTTTATCTGTGGTGGTATGGTTTTTGTCCTATGCTCTGTAGACATTGAATTGCTGTTAAGAACTTGCACTCTTCAAGCTGGCACATCACAAGTGGGAAATGAATGGCACCTGCGGTGGCAGTTGTGGAGCATTTGAAGTGGCACTGCCCCCATGTTGGACTTCCCATGAGGCCAGCAGGAGCCCACCATTTGATCTGAATCATTCTTTCAGATTTGTATCAGATGCTTTCCTATTGCAACTTCCTGTTGCCCTGTTTCTCAAAGCAAGCCATATTCTAGAGCCATTGCAACGCAGAAGGTTAGTACTCCTGCTTATACCAGAGCTACCTTCCAGAAACAGCGTGGTCTTAAACAGTGTGGCACTGAAGCTTTGTCTCTTTTGGTTTAGGATACCTCTTTGACTTGGAAATAAAATGTTTTTCTTATTGAGAAACCTCTGTGTAAGTAGCAGATCTCCCTCTAGGCTTACTCATTAAATGGGAGACAGTTGTAGTTTGGTGATGACGTAGATTATTGTGCTGTTAAGTTTCTGATTCCTGGTGCGTGCTTGCTCAGAAGAAACTGTCAGGGTCGTGATTAATTGTGTATTCTGAAGATAAAGGGATACTTCAGGGGTTTTGAAAGTTTTCTCATGTGCAAAACTCGGCTAAAGCCTCATTTGGCACATAGTGGGGAGCACCTCTCCTTCTAGTTCACTTTGCTTACACCACCCTGTTGAAGCTGGATGTTTTATGGCACAGGGAAAACTGATTTCAGTACTAAACCATGGCAATCAGATAAGGGGCTCCTAACTCAGTTACCAGCCTACTGCAAAACTTTGTCTGGAGCACCAGTGCATCCTTTCTAAGTATTAAGATTTGTAGTAACCAGAACATAAGATTGCCAACATGTAGACTAACTGAATACTGCTGGATTCTGTGATCCAGTATGACTCTTAAGGCAATTGAAAGAACTAAGAGGGAGCAGCCCTAGGAAGAATTAATTGTAAACCTTTCATCTTTTTCTGAAACAAGTCTTACCAGAGGGAAATGTAATTATATTAATCAGATAATTTCTGAGATGCCTGCAAGGGGACAGAGATGGTTTTAGTGCCTCTTGTGTGCAGGGTTATGCCCACTTACGGCCCCCAAAAAGGTGCAGAGTTAGTGGCTGTAAGGGTGGTTGTAACATGGCATAATACCAGGGTTTTGGGTTTTTATTGAGGACAGTTTTTAACACCCAGCACTGTTTGGTCCCTCAAGCTTCTGGTGGGTTGGTTTGTTGTATGGGCAGTTGTTGGGGCAGCATTGAAAGATTTGGTGTTTGTTTAGGGAAAAGACAGCAGCACCAGAAAGGTAATGAGAAACTATGGTTTCCCCCGTTTGTCTTTTGTGGGACATTTCCCCACAGTCTCTGGGCTCCTAAATCATAGCATTTTTGCTGCCACACTCCACCAAGACGGTGAGTCCTGTGTGTCAGAAAAGAGCTGCTCACTGACAACCAGGAGTCCCTAGCTGCATACTCTTGATTTACACACACAGAGAGTAAAAAGCGATACAGGGGAGTTAAGTCAGCTCGAGCAGAACTAACACCACCCGCTCCCCGTGGCAGCCCCTCAGTCCCGGCCGCGCGGGCCCGGCCGCGCGGGCCCAGCCGCGGTTAGGGCGGTTAGAGCGGTCAGAGCGGTCAGAGCGGCGCGCTGGGCCAGGCCGTGCGGCAGGCCGGGGATTCTGGGCCTACCCCGCCCTCGTGCGGTTCCGGCAGCTCTCGCAGCCTGTTTGCAGCTCCCTGTTGGGCGGCCGTTGTGGGTGTTCTCTGCCTCTTGTTTGTGTAGGTAGGAGTTGGCCATGTCCGAGCGGAAGATGCATAGAAGGAGTCAGGCCAACTTGAAAGAGCGAGTAAGAGAGAGAAACATGAGAAGGACAGGGCTGGGGAAAGCCTATGAGCCGTTGTCTGCAGGTGCAAATGGCGAAAGTAAGATGTTTCTGTTGCCTGTGTAGCAGTTTGGTGCTGGTTGCTGCCAATTTCCAATGTGTGACAATGGATGGTTCTCTTCCAGGCAGGCACAGTGTGCATCTGAAGAGCATCCTAGCCAACAACAGAGCTCTAGCCCGGGCTTTGCAGGAGGAGAAGCTCAAAGTGAGACGAGCTCGAGATGCCTTTCTGTGTTTGAAGAGGGAGAATGAATGCCTGAAGTTTGAGTTCTTTTATTTAACAATGCTGCTTCAATCATGGCAAATGTGGGCACCTGCTGAGGTATTTTGAATGCTGTCTTTGTTTTGCAGTGATGGGGAGTGTCAGAATTGTCTCCAGATAAGCCTGAGCTCTGTTTCTGAACTTCAGTGGCTCCTGACAAGTCAGTTAGCTACACAGGAGATACCTTGTTGGGTTTCCTATGGTTCTAGTCATTAATAGCTCCCATTTTTTTTGCTTATCTTGCTTCGGCAAGGAGAGTCCTTTTAGTGGACAGTCACAGAATCATGGAGTCATAGAATAGTTAGGGTTGGAAAGGATGTTAAGATCAGGTTATTAAGAACAGTCTGTGACACCTGATTTACATAAAGTTCTGTTTTCTCATAACATGATTGCAAAATAGGTATGTGTGGAGCTGATATAACTGCAACAACATGGTTTGCACTGTGCCTCCATTAGAGAAGTGTGTCAGCCTTATTTGGGCTCCCATCTTCAGAAGCTGCTTGGAGATTAATATAGTCCGTTGCTGGGCTGAAAAGGTCAGGAGGGTTGTGATGTGGGGGCATCCTGCCTTCCCATCTTTGTCTGGATCTTTACGGCTCTTTGCCAGGGAGGCTTCTCCTTTCTGAGTTTTCCCCTCCATTGCTTTCTTCCTGCAGACATCCACACAGTTCACCCGTGTAGGGAAAGAGAAGGGCTTTAAATGTGGCGGAATTTGGGTTTCTTTTCTGTCCTGCTGCCAGTCATCTGGAGCCTTGCCCTCCAGGGGGCCATCAGTCTTGTTCCAGCTGCTTACACTGAAACCTTTCTTGTTGGCAGAGTGCGAGAACGTTTCCTCCAGTGCCTCTAATGATTCCTGTTGTCACTGGACAGGACCATTGTGTGTAAGTAGCTCTGATTAATTTGTCTTGTCACTTCTCTTACAGTTTTCTTACAGTGAAGGCAGGGGAGGCATATGTAATGCATCAGAAATAATTCCTTGTCCTAAAAGCAATGTGTTTTTCCCCTCCCTAGGGGAGTTCCACGACATAATGTGGAACATGAAGAATTCCCTGAGAGTGAGATGAAAGCCACAGCAGATGACAATAGGCCAGCTGGCTGCTTTTCAAAGGACTTCTGTGAATCTGCCAGTGCTGATGCTGTAAAGGAAACAGACCCAGAGTGTGGTAAGGAAATCTACTGGGCATTCCTCACTCCTGAAGCAAGGAGGAGGACTGTGTGCCTCTATCTGCATCATGAACACTGCTTTGTAGTAATGGTGAGACAATACACGAGAATGAAGGATTTTTGTATAGTGGTGTCTGTGGTTGTACTAACTGTAATGAGGAGCAGGCTTGAATATCAGCAAAGACCAAAAAAGTTTTGAGTGAAGATGCTTGGCAGAATGGGAAATGAATTTGAAAGGTCTGACTTTTGTATCCCTGCCTCCTAGTGACCTGATCTACTGAACAGCTGACTAGAGAAATCTCCTTTTCTGTGGTCTGCTAGTGTTTATGATGAGCTACTTTTTCAAAGCCCAATATTTGAAAAGTCTTAATTGGACAATGAGTGTAAGCTGCAGCTCTAGATTCCTGGAGTCCTGCTGTTAGGACTCACGTTTTCCTGTGAGGTGAATACCTAAACTGTAGCCTATTTCAGGATGCTTTCGGGAAACTGTATTCACCCGAGCTTACCTTGGTGACCACACATTGGATCTTGCAGATCTTTTTAGAAAGTTGGTCTGGCTGATGGATTTAGAGAGTAAGCAAATCTTCTCTTGGTTGTTAATCTGTATTTCAGTAGGACTCTGTTCTGATTTGCTTGTTGATTTCCCTTCCCTCACTCCCTTGTTAACATAGTGCCAGAGCTGGAGACTGTTTCTTCAAATGAAGAATGTGGGCTATCTGGCGATGTGTTCCGCAAAAGTATGTCCATCAGGCAGTGCTATTCAGAGGTAAGGGCTCATGCTGTGTGTTCTTAGGGTTTTGCCTTTCCAGAGATATCTTGTTCATAGCCTTTTCCGGACAGGAGGAAGTTAGACTTGGGGACAGCCTAGAAGAACAATGTTAAAAACCCAAATCCTGGTATTTCTCAACAAAATAAGAGCAGAGAACTGGAGCTAGTGTTGAGCAGATGCTCAAGTGAATTCAATTGGCTGACTTGAGAGAAGCTAAGTTAAAGGTTCTGGAGTAAGGAGACTGCAGTATCAGGAGAGAAAGCTGGGAGATGCTGAAGAAGCCTCCAGACCAAGCCTTAGCAAAGGTGAAGACTTTACAAGGAAAGCCAGAGATGCTGGCTGAGTCATCATGGTGAGGGTGTATCTGAGACCTGACCACAGGTTGGGCAGTGTTGGTGAAGATTCAGATGGTGGCCTTCAGGTGCCCCATTATCATAAACTGTCCAACAAGAGCAGCTGGGTGGCCAGAACGGGAGCATGGGGAGAGTATGTAAGACCTGTGCTTGAGATGTGTCTGGCAGCTCCCAAACAGGAATTCCAGAGTGAAAGAGAGATGGAGCATCCTACAGCAAGGGCAAAGCTGGTTGGGAAGGGGAGTTTGGAAAGGGCTGTATCCTGATCGATTTCTGTTCTCTCTTGACTGTTTCAAGCTAGCTTCTCTTTAGAAATACACATGAAATGGTGCTGGAAACCTGATAGTACAGTGCCCATTTATGCAACCACTTGTTTTGTCAGCAAAAGAGGTAACTGAAGCTGGATACTGTGTGAAAAACTGCTTAAAACCAAACTATACTGTGTTGTTGTCTCTTTGAATAGGGGAGTCTTTCATGCCACCTTGTCAATGTCTTCACAGTGTTAACTGCATGGCATGCTTCTGCCTGAGCATTGGGATGCAGTTTTTCACTCATCACATGAAAGGTCACCTCTGAAATGCAGGCAATTTGATCCCAGGGACTGCGTGTATGTGTCCTACTTTTCAGCTTAATGCAGTGAAGTGCTATGTTCTTAAAAAGCAGGAGTTATTTGGGGCAGAAAGTTCCAATATGGCCTTTGAAGAAGGGTCTGGTATTCGTAGTACAAAACAGTTCAGAGCAGGATCAAATATGGTAGTTAGGAGTTGAACTGTTGATGTAAATAGAGGAGGGAGTGGAAGATGAAATAGAATCCAAACTTAGTTTTGCTGCATTATTTTTGCAGGAGTCGTAGAGGAGATGCGTTTGCAGATGAATATTATCTGACAGCTCCAATTTTCCAGCAGAAAAAAAGACTTTCTTGAAATAAAGGAGAAATGTTTTCATTATCACTGAGGTGTCCTGTCATTCTTAACACCAAGGCAGTTCATGATGGGTAAAAATGTCTCCTACAAATACTGTCACATCTGCACATCTGATACTAGGGACACAGGCAAAAGGTTCTCTTGTTTTCCTTAGTCCAAGGAGTGACTTGCTTTTAAGGAGATAGCTTTTGTGTGTAAGGCATAAGGTGACTTTGTTACAGAGGTGAATCTATTTGAACTCTTCTGGGAGAAATAATGTTTGTTATTTCTCATCTTAGTAAAATCCCAGACGGGTTGCAAGAAAGGCAGCCTCACTTGTCAATCACACTTGTTATGTATAGGAAACATTCTCCATTACACTGGTGCATTTGTAGAATTTATTCTCAGTGTAGCTTGTGAAAAGTCACTGAAAAAATGCTATGAATAATTTGAGACACATAATATCTACAGTTGCTTAAAAATGCACTAATGCTGTGTTGAAGATATGCTTCAGGATGTGGTGCATATAAAGGAGAGGTGGGAGATGCTGGAATGAATATGGTCTGAGCAACCTTATCTTGGCTGCCCTGTGTAGATACACCTCATTAACAGCTTGTTAATGGTATAGTTGCATATTTTATTGTCAGGAGGTCACTGGTGGTTTGGGAATGAGAACCCTGCAGAAGATGCTGTATTTGAGGAGATAATGCTCTTGAACATACCTTGTCTGTTCTGTTGCACCTTGTACTTAAGGCTTGAGAGGCCCCTATGTTCTTAACGCAATCCCTAATATCTTGAGGGATGGTAAATTGCATGTGGATCAAGGATTGGAAGTAGTTATGCCACCTGTGTGGCTTTCTCTGTCTACAAATATAGGAGGAAGTTTTTCTCTGAACCTCCTTTATGAATAGAGGTGTTTTTGTGTAAAAAAATTCTATCTCAACCAAAATGGAAGAATCTCTATTAATGGGGTCTGTCCAGCGTGTTGTGTGTGGATGGGAGGCCTGTTCAAAGCTATCACACCCGGAGTTCCCACCATCTCAAAGGATGTAAGATCATTTATAATATTCTCTACTCATAGTGTTGCTCTAGTAAATAACATTTGAAAAGATAGCTTACCGAGCCTGATTGCCTCCCTCACTGGGTTGTAATGGACTTACACCACTTGGGGCAAAACAGAGGGTGTTTACTCCCTTGGCAAGTGAGCTAGCATTTATTTTCCAAACTTAAATGAACGTGAGCAGGTATTCTCTCTACCTACAAGGAACTGGAGCATATTTAATACAGATGTTGAAAGCTTTCTCAAGAGGAGTTAAAACTCGACAAAACAATAAGAAACCTTGCTCTGTCTCGGCATAAGAAGTGACTTAGAGCTCCGTCTAGGGGTGATGAAGCATCATAGCATCAGAACAACAAAGAGTATAATGCTTCACTATGCCAGTGCACTCAGTGCAAATTAAAGTCTGGTTTTGACACAGGAGAAACCAAGGGGGGGAAAAACCTGGGTTTCAGGAATGCAGGTCATGAATGACAGCAGCGAGCTGCTGCTTGAGCCTCAGTAACAGCTTGTGCCCTTTCTTTCTGCTCATCTGCCCCAGCTGTCAATCAGTGTTGATTAAACTGGAAGCCCCAGGTAGTTTTCCATATCACCTGTTGTTACTTTGATAGCTGAGAAGTCAATATTCTCAAGCATGTCAGCTGTTGTACAGTATAGGACACAAAATTATTCTAGCAAGATAAAGAATTTATTGCAATTCCCTTTCCACATATAAATTAATTTGTGCTGATTATTCCTTTTTGCTTTGGTGGCAAAACTTGACCCCATTCTGTCTTCTTTTAATTGGAAGCACGAGATTGCCTGTTGCTATTTTTGTAGTATTTGCATGAATTCTGCAGCTCTGTAACAGTAATAGCGCAGCTGTAATACCCTGTCTGGTAGAAGCTTAAAATCACTGAAAATCAGTTGTGGTAAGACATGTAATTCAGAAGACACGTCTTTCAAGTGTAAAAGTCCTGACAAAAGAATTTTGCACTTGATACATAACATCCAACTCTTGGGGTGCACTAATGGTGTCAAGACCTGCAGACGTCTTGCAAAACCCATGCTTTTGTGGCAGAGATAGTCCCTACATATACATATCACAAGCATGCAGTTAAACCAAAATGTGTAGCAAACAGTGAGTTTTCCTGTGTTATTGACATGTAACTTAAGCATGTGGTTTTTGTCACTTTGTATTTGCATTAGAAGGAAATGGGTTAGAAGCATACTGTGGTAAAAGGCAGGACGGCTGTGGTCTAACTGTCCTCAACTTATCACCCACTCTCATCACAGCCCACCTCCTCTGAACCAGTTGTGACTGGTTCAGCTTACAGGGTTTTTCCACTAAATAACCAAACCTTCCTGCAAACAAATGCCCCAGCATCCAGAAGCCTTAAACACCCACTTGTCCCCTTATTCAGCCCCAATAAAAATTAAAAACTTAGTATGAACAGTATGTACCTGTATAAATAAACTTCAGGGACATGGAAGCTGTTGCAGACATAAAACCTGCAACCTGTACTTGAGAATCTGTGAGTTGATAGCTGTGCTCAGCATGGTTGCGTGTAGGCAGGGGTTTTTGTGCAAAAAGCTGTGTTTTCTCTCTCTTTTTCTGTGCTGTATGGACAACATCTTTCCAGTTTCATGTATGAGACACAAGTTTATTTGGGGATCATTTTAAGTGAAAGAGATCTTGGTTCATTAATGCAATCAAGTGTTTCTCTAGCAGGGATGAAGATGGGAAAGATGAGGACAGTGGTGTCAATGGTGCTACTGAAATCTACAGTAACTGCATTCCAAAAATACCTTTGTGCCTATTTTATTTCACTTTGATTGGAACAGAGCCTTAACAAATAATAGCATGGTGTATTTGTTGTTTTTCAGAGAGTCTGACTGAAGAGTAAACATCACATCTTTCTTTGCATTGAAGAGTAACGTGACACTGAAGGCAGAAATTAGTTGAATTGGCTTCAATATGCAGATTGAAAAATAACTTGTAAGATACTCTGTTAGTAAAACAGCTGTGGTTGTTATAACTGCGTCTGACTTACATTCTTCCCTTGCAGTGGTGTGAGTGCTAGAATTCCTGTTCTAACAGCACTGCAGGTCCCCCTGGCTTGGCTTAGCCCTTCAACAGAAAAGTTACGAGCTAGCTTTTATTGTTCTGTGTAGGAGCATTCCTGTTTAATACCTTGAAAAGCAGAAAACTGATGGGTTTAAGGCTCTTTCTTTGATATTCTGAGGAATTTATACAAACAGAGAAATGAGTCAAGTTTTCTAGCCATATTAGTACTTGTTGTGGAAATGCTGGAGAGGAAACACAAGCCTCACAAATGCATCCAGAGGAAAGCTTTTGTTGCCCTCTACATTGTTACTGATACAGTGAGTGTAAATGCTGCATCTGCTTATCTCCAAACTTACGGCACTGTTTTGCCCCAGATGGAGCAAATGCTTAACTCCAATGTGTCTACTATTTTTTTCCACAGAAATTTGAAAAGAGCTGATTTGTGGAACTTGGAGCTGAAGAGTTCAAAGTCCAACATCTGAGAATCTTTCTGCTATTGTGAAAATACATTATCTGTCAAAACTGGAGATTTAAGGGTTTGCTCAAAGGTATCTTAAAACAAGATGATCATGTTCATGATCATTACAGTTGTTTTCTTTCTTTAAAACGACAGCGTTCAGGTTTTCAGTCTGTGCCACGGACTGGTGTGTGGCCTGGTGGCTTTCTCCTATTTCTGCATGTGTGCACCTCAGAATTGCTTTATGCTCGTCTAACTTCTTCAGTCAAAATTACTGTGTTCAGTTTTTGAAATCGTGTTTAACTGAGTCTGAAAGCACACATCGCTTCAGAATGTTTAAGTCCTGCTTTGGTGGATACATGAGACTTGCAGTAGGTCATTGAAAGTAAAAATGAACAACATCTGTGAATTTACAGACAGGAATGCTCCTTAATTAAGTTTTAAGCTCAGTAACAAAATGCATCTCTGTTTATATATCAAAAGCCTGGTTACATCTCTAAACTTGTGTATTCATAACTACTTTTAACATGAGTACCTGCTTCATTTTGCAATATGGACTTTGGACTGAAATACTAGGTATTTAACCTTAGTCCTATTGCTCATCTCAGGTCAAGACTCAAAGATTAGGAAAGCCAGACTGATATAAAACCAGAAGCAGGAAAGCAAAACAAGCCTTGTGCACTAATGCCATAAGATTACATGGGGATTTTTGTTGTTGTTAAATCTGGCACTGAGAGCAGGGGAGTCTATAGGGATAAATATATATAGCAAAGCAAATTGAAGACGATTTTGTTAGCCTTTCCTAAACAAGCATTTATGCTTGCTTTCCTTGGTGCTTGGTGACAGCCCACATTCTGTAGATGAAGAAGAGTACGATGAGATAGTACATGGAGCTCTTCAGAAGTAGGGCGATGTAGACTAAATACGCTGCCCTGTGTACAATGTGATCTGTAACAAACATAAGACAGGAGAGCCTTGTTTAATGTCAGTATTGTACAACCTTCTAAAAGATGGGTAGACCTGGGACTGTGGTCTGTTTACTGCTGCAATTATATTGATTCCAGTGGACAGTGTGAGAACACATAAAATGCCTGGCTGTTCTTTGAGTAGGTTTGCACTAATGAGCTCTAGACTGAGCGGGTTTCTTATCACTAGACTTGCTCTCAAAGCTGCTGGGTTTATTCCCTAAATAGGGAAAGACAAGGACACAATTCTAGTGCTTCCAGCACTGATTACTGATAGCACTGTGTTTGCTTGAATTCTTTTGTCTTGGATTTTTGAACACAAGGACTAACAATTCTTCCTGAATCCCTGTTCAAGCTAAAGTCCAAAGTGCTGGGCAGTTGCTGGGCTGATGAAGCATCAGCTGAAGCATTGAACTTTTAACTGCTTCAGATAGATATTTTAAAAAGTAACACATAATGTGGGCTAATAATCTAGTAGCTGAACAGCATCTTTGCATCCTAATAAAGCTAACTAATAAAAGTAGGAGAGCCCATTCTTATAATCCACAACAGAAGTTACTTCAGAGTAGCACTGAAGTGGTTTTATGTTGCAAACCCCAGACTTAAAAGATTTCCTGTATGCTATTTAGAAAGATCCTTTCCGTGAGGTTCTGAGCAAATACAGCAATATCTGACTAACATGCCATGGGTCGCTTTCCCACGTTTTAATACATTTTAGTTACCTCTGTTAAAAACTGTGCTGTTTCCAGATGCGTTGCAGTCCTCTTCCTGAGGATCAGTCTTTGCAGAGAAGTCTTTTGACAAACATGAATTTGAGAAATAGGGAAAAAAAAGAGGCAGTAAGATGTAAATTAACAGTGAAATTGGAAGTTTTGAACAGCAAAAGAGATGGTTAAGATCTGTCTGCAGAGCAGATGTTCATGAGTAGGATTCACATGCACTGAGAATTTGAAGGGAAGGTAATATGCGTAGAGAAGTGACTTGGGTATTTGTTACCATATGTGGAAAGTTTGCCCTTTCAGGAATGTGTCCCTTAAGCTGTTCCTTTGCAGAGTCTCTTTAGAACTGAATCCACCTGATCTTGTCACTGAAGTGGCTAGAGTCTGCCTTCACAATTACTACTGTTATTACAAATGCAGAATAATTTACATTGGAAGGGACCTCAATTAGTCTGTTACTTCATGCCTGCTCTACAGTAAGGAGTAATCTTGAGGAGACCATGATCTGAGGTCCCCTTATTGGGAATTTGCTATTTTGATGGTGCTTGTTCTCGAAAATAAACCCTTTCTGTGCTTGAAGCAGCAAATCTGTTTGTTCTCTGTTCCGGTGTTTCTATTCATTGATATATGGTCTTAAAGGCATCCATATTACCCCTGTAAATACATCCTCCATCTAAATAAACTTAAAGCATATTTTTGTCAGAATATATTTTGACCATTATTATGTCCCTGCTCTCACTTATTGGTGTTACATTAATTTATAGGAAATCGAACAAAGGTAGGTATTGAGAAAAGACTAATTTAAACCAATATAGGCAGCTTTTTAAAAGATATTACCATGATTTATACAATTTGCATTGATTATAGGTTACTTTTTTCTTTAAAATAGCATCGGCTTTCGGGTTCTGCTTTGCATAATCTTTCCTTAGTTAAATGAGACATCTTATTTTCAGACATGGCTATTACCTCACCATTGCTGGGCACTGCATAAGTAAAACATTTAAACTTCGTTCTACATCCCCGGCAACCTTGGTTTTTAACTCTGAATTTTTTTATAGCTGTGGCTAATGTCACAGGGTGTCAGAGGGACTTACACCTCTCAGTCATGGGTTGAACAGAGAGGTAATACTGTTTTCAGAGACTTCTGTAGACAGGGAAGTAACACACAGCTCAGTGCAGAGCTTTTGGAGCTAATCTAGTTTACACTTGATGAGGTTCAAGAACTGCTCTTTTCCTATTGCAGGGGGGCATTCCATTGGGAAGCATAGCACAGACTGGGTTGCTTTCCCTGGGAAAACATTGTGTATTTTAATGATTGCTGTGCAAATGAGCACAGATGCTTTCAGGAACAGTAATAGAAAGCATTATTTCTATAATTTTATTGCAAAGAAAAAGTGATGTCTATAATAATATATAGAATGAAACTTATAATATTTTAGTATCTAACTTTAACATATAACATTAATATATAACTTTTAACATTTTAGCATATACCTTGTGTCGGCAGTGAACGCTCTTGGCTTTCGTGCTCGTATTTGCAGTAATATTTTTTGTCTTTGTTCTCCACTGGTACAGTTAGCCAGCTGCCAATTGAGTATTCCTCATTTTTTGTGGCCTTCCAAGTGTCTCCTTTTACTACATTGTCTGTTACCTCCTCATTTTTTTCATCGGTCCATGTCACCCGAATAACTTCTGGGTAGAATTTCTCAACAAGGCAAACATATGTTATCTGATTTTCGTGTTCCTTCTTCAGGATTTCAGAGTTTGCTGGTGGAGAATTTCCTTTGCCTGGGATGGTTAGTGGAGGAAAAAGAAAAAATAACACAGTAGAGACTTAGAAGATCAGTAGAGTACAGTAAACAAATACGCCACCACAAAATACAGTTTTTAAAGAGCAGCAACCTAAAAGTCTTCTTGACAAATGTTCTGGCTCGCTAATTTGTTGTTAAATACTTAGGATGGGAACAGAAAAGTCTTATGTATGAAAGGAGTTTTACGTAATAAGATGGATGAATTACAGCTCCTTCCGTCCTTGAAGTAAAGAAGTGTTTGGTGAACCTGGCATTCGAACACAGTTTATAGTAAGTATTATTTCAGTAGACCTAAATGATAAGTTTTAATTTTCAGTCAAAGCCAGTTACAGTACTATTTAGAATAATTGGAAATAGAAAGTATGACTTTTAGCCTTATTTTTAAATGAGTTATTTTATAGAGAATTAAAATGGATAGCAGCTTTTATGAGTATGGTACAGAAAATTAAACTCCAAATCAGAACCAAGACTCAACTCAAATAGTCTAAACTCATATTTATTTAGATAATACAGAGTCTTACAGAGTCCGAGGGGTATTTGACCTGGAGAGTTTTGATATGTGCCATGCACATTTAAGTCCTAAATTGTTTAGTGAAGACCAATGTTTAGACTGCTTCATTCATGCTTCTTGTCAAGCAGCACATCTGGTAGAGGAAGACTACAATAGACTAGATCTATTCTTTAATACTAGAGTAGATTTAAAAGTATGGTAAAAAGGTGCCTAGCTTAAATGAAACATTTCAATCATATCACAGTCCTGAGGAAGCAGATGTCTTGAATAACTGCAACTGTGTGCATGAATGGAAGAGTCCCATGTACACGGGCAAATAGAAGACAGTGGAGAACTGGATAAATTAAGTTTTGCATATATACATGTATATATATATGTGTATATGTGGAGAAAAAAGTCTCCATAAACTGTAGGTATGTTTATGGGAAAAAAAAAATGAAACCTTGTAGAATTGGCTGTAGATTTTGATGTATTTTCAGGTTGATCTATAAAGCTGTGAAGTCCATAGGACAGTTTACACTGTTGTAGTTTTATTCTGGGCAAATAGTCTGATTCTTTCTGAAGAATTTTAAAGTAATGAATTTCTACTCCACCATCTTTTTTGCTTTAGATAAACTTCCAAGAAATTTACAGTTTAGTTTTTAAATAGTTTTCTAAGCAGGTTTTAAAAGCTATGTAGGTCTTTTATTATTTTAAAATAATATATACACACACGTAGATATTTCTTAAGCTAAAATCTGTTTTTTCTCTATTGTAATAATGCAGTAAGCCTACAAAACATAGTGCAAAGAAAATTCTGGATTTAGGTTTGTAATCAATGAGCTCTTAATGAATTGGATTCAAAACGTATGCTTTTGTAGATCAATTATGAAGTTTTCTTAATGAAATTCCTCTACAGTTTCTCCATAAGCACCTATGAATAAGATTTATAAATAAGGTCAATGTGTTCTTAAGCTGAACTTTTCAGTACTTGAATAATCCACAAAACTGAACAATTTTTGACAGCTCTGCTGTTCCCCTTCAAGCCAGTGGGAGCCCAGAGCATGCAGCACACTCAGATTACAAACGGCGTTCTTGTCCTGCTTGCCAGCAACTTCAGGTATTATCATTGATAATAACATAATAGAGTCCTGATCTAACCCCAGATGCTTTAAAGAGCTGTCAACCTTCTCTCCTAAGCTTTCCCATGACAAAACTTAAAAAATAAGTCCTTGAAAATACTTACTGGAGATGATGAGTTTTGTTCCAGAACCAAATGATTTTATTACGCCACACTGGTACATCCTCTTACAAAAATTGCTTGGGACATTTAGGTTGGACAAGGACCAGATTTAACAACCACAATATGAATATTAAGAATTTATTCATTTGGCTACATGACTGTAGAAAAATAGAATTCAATCTCATCTAATGCTGCTATTCCCAAAGAGCCTTTAGTGATATGTACTTTAAATTCAGTTTCAAGCAAGTCTATGCAATCATTTGTTTAAAAAAACATCAAAACAAGCCGAGTGTTGTTGCCTGGGGCAATGATGGAGATGGCATGTTTCCGTCAGGTTCTAAATAGATGCAGGATTGGGACTATTCAGCCTCGAATCCTGCTGTACTTGCCTACACAGTACTATTGCAGTTAGTGCCAAAAGGAAACATACGTATACATCTATGTATATTGTAGAGAAGCATCAACTTCCATCATTCCTCTTAATGTCTTTCCCCAGAGCCTTCTGGCTTCTCCCCAGTGAAAACTATGTGCACCTTACATGAAATCCTGCCAACGCTGAAACTAATGGCAACTTTTCAAAAGGTCCAGGATTTCCCCTGAAATATTCCACTGAAACCTGTTTGTGAACACTGTCTTATAAGAATCAGCTACTGAATTCATCTTTGTGCCAATGAAATCCTTGATATTTTAAACCCATTAGAAAATGTTCTTATTAATATTAATCATGGTAAGCTTTCACTCTACAGATTTCTTTTGAGTGGACACATCTTCCCTTTTATGTTTTACATCTCCATCCTTCTGCCCTAACACTTGTTTGGACTTTCAAGTCTATTAGGTTTTAATTAAGGGCTTCGTGTTTTTCCCTGTTGAGAAAAAATACTAATGCAAACTAATGCATTGATTAAACTTCATCATTTTGATTTAAAAGTGCAGGAAGTCAGTTTAATCCAACTTCAGGTAATGTATAAATAAATTTAAGTAAAATCTATTTTAGGGAATGTATTTTTTATAATAATATAATTACAAAAAGATAATTACAGCCTTTTGAACTCTGAACTTTAATACATTTGAAATTAAGATAGATACTTCAGTAATGTTTAGGAGGTAAACTGGGTTTGGAGAGCCTGATTCAGTCTTCAGTTCAGTCTCAGCTTGACTGTTGCAATCTGGTGAGTGCCTAAATTGGGCAGAGAAGTGATTCAGAGCAGCCCTGCGGAGAAGGACTTGGGGGTGCTGGTTGATGAGAAAATGAACATGAGCCAGCAGTGTGTGCTTGCAGCCCAGAAAGCCAACCGTATCCTGGGCTGCATCAAAAGGAGCGTGACCAGCAGGTCGAAGGAGGTGATCCTGCCCCTTTGCTCTTGTGAGACCTCACCTGGAGTATTGTGTGCAGTTCTGGTGTCCTCAACATAAAAAGGACATGGATCTGTTGGAACAAGTCCAGAGGAGGGCCACGAGAATGATCAGGGGAGACTGGAACACCTCCCGTATGAAGATAGGCTGAGAAAGTTGGGGCTGTTCAGCCAGGAGAAGAGAAAGCTGCATGGAGACCTCATAGCAGCCTTCCAGTATCTGAAGGGGGCCTATAGGGATGCTGGGGAGGGAATCTTCATTAGGGACTGTAGTGGTAGGACAAGGGGTAATGGGTTAAAACTTAAACAGGGGAAGTTTAGATTGGATATAAGGAGGAAATTCTTTCCTGTGAGGGTGGTGAGGCACTGGAATGGGTTGCCCAAGGAAGTTGTGAATGCTCCATCTCTGGTGGTGTTCAAGGCCAGGTTGGACAAAGCTTTACTTTTGCATTCGTATTACTTTTGTGGTGAACCTATGCAATCATCAGGATAAATGCTGTTTTCAGTATAAAGCACAGTATAATAGCACAGTAAAGCATTGGACAAAGCAGTGACATGGTTTAGCGTGAGGTGTCCCTGCCCATGGCAGGAGCCTTAGAACCGGATGATCTTAAGGTCCTTTCCAACCCTAACTATTCTATGATTCTATGAAATTCCCTAGGAAGATACTTACAGAAGAATCCTGTATTGCCAGTTTGTGTTCTTAATTGATATTTCTGGTCTGCTCTAAGCTTCAAAACCCTCATCTATTCCACAAAATGCAAATGCCAAACCTGTCTCTCAAACCCTAGCCCTTCTGTTAACTGCATTATTTAGTCTGGAGCAACTTTGTTTTGATCAGAACTAATTAAAGGAGACCAACAAGAACAAAATCAAGTTCACTACAAGTTGATGGGAGCTTAGCTCTGTCAGCATAGATACGTTAAAGATTCTGCTCAAGCTCAAACCCTGGTGGTTCAATTGAATTAAGGTCACTTATCCTAAATCCTCATTTTCTCAATTTCTTTTGTTTAGGAGTAACTTAATGTTGGATGGTCACCCCTGAAAAGACAAGCTGTGATGAAATGCCTGATCTTAAGTGTGTAAGTAAGGTAACTACAGCCTTTTCACTCTATTAATTGGCCAGAAGTCTCGGCCACATAGAGACAAAATGCTATAGAACTGGAGTGAAAATTACTTTAAACTGTAGATACTAAAAGCATGGGAACTACCTGATTAACAAGGTGAGGATTTTCACTGAAAATGCTTATCCTGATATAGATATTTCTATTGAATTATAGTTATGATTTATTTAGTCTTTCTGACATAAATCATTAAAACCAATCTATCTTTTCTTCACATGCTAATACGAAGTTATACATATCTAACCAGGCTTGAAACATTTGGTAGCAGTAGTTCTGCTTTGTGTTTGTGCAGTTGTTTATTCCAGGATTATGGCATTTAAAGCACATTTAATGGGAAAAAGATTCTTGTCCTTCACTTCCCATTAAAGTCTACAGGAAGGGCATAAAAAAAGGACCACCTCTTCATGTGTGAGTTTTTAAGCAATAAGAAGAGCCAAAGTGCTGTGGACATGACAAAAATAATTACAGACAAGTTATTTCACTTCTACCAGCCTAATGGAATGAGGATTTTGGCAGTAGCCATTGTGTATTGCTCTTTGTATCTGTATTGGGAAGGGGGTTTCTTCTTTTGTGCTTAATTCAGAGCTGCTTAATTCCCTGCTTAATCCTTCAGTAAAGCTGGGGGGAAGAGAGACATAGTCCTAAAGGAAAATGTTTTGCTTTTCAAAGAATTTGAGTAACCCGAAGGTTTGGCACTTTTCTTTCAGAATGAATTAGAGATATCACGAACCTTGAATATGCATGTTTAAACACAAAACCATCTTTCAGTTTTCTGAATGCTGTCTTTGCCATATTTAAGCTTTAAAAAGAAAATAATGATGGGGTTAATTACATATCTGTGCTGCAATAGCTATTGTGTTTCACCCATTCTATACATAAATACAAAACCATTACGTTGTGTTTTGCATGTGGAAATGCTGTTCAAGAGGAAAATCCTGCAAAGCATTCAATAGGGTTAAAATTAGCAGGAGCTGAAAAAGCAAAGCACTTCATGCAGTCAGTGTCTAACTGTACTGAAAAGCATTTCAGAAGCAGCTAATTTTCACGTTTTGTACTTACTTGAAACAATAAGCTTAGTTCCAGTTCCAAATATTTTGATATCGGCATCCCACGGTCTTACAGTGCTTAGCAATATCTCCTGCTCTGCACTTCCCTTGCACTGGCTACAGAAAACGTCTCTCTGATTTAGAGGTCGGTGATAGATTTGGCCCAGTGCGATGGCTTGATTTTCAACATCGACTAGAGTGCCATTTTTAGAAATCCTTTGATTTTTTTGGTAGTGAGTGCTAATTTAATGACTATATTCCAATCCTTTTGGGCTCTGGGGCTGCTCTAACAAAGAGCTCTTGTCTCTGGCCTGCTAGGTTTTCTCTGAAGAAACCTCTCTTTGCTGTTTTAGAAGAAATGTGGCTACATTGTGACTCCCAGAGAAAATTAAGGAAGTTTACTACTTGTTCATTTAAATATACAGGTAAGCTTTTTTTTTCCTAAGTGTCCTATTTTGTGAATTACATATTGTGTGAAAGTACCTTAACTAAACTTTCATCAAACACGTATTTTGAAGCCCATATTTTAAATGCAAATTCTGTATTCTAAACAAAGCTTACTGATGCTCATAACTAAGATCATGCTTTTTTTAATGCTGTTGTCTTAGCAAAGCAGCTGTCTCTCCATGGGGACAGTTTAGTTGGAAATTGCAGCAGAGAACATTTTTGGTCAGAGGCATGGATAACATTTTAAATTTCTCTGTAACTCTCTTCTGCTTTTTATGACACGGCTTAGTTTTAGTCATGTTGATAATATCAGCTACTTTCTGAGCAGCATACTGTAGGCACTGCTATATGCTTTACACTTAAAATAGCATTTATCCTACCGATTGCATAGCTTCACCACAAGAGTAATACAAATGCAAAGTAAAGCAGTTAGGTTCAGTAGGGCCAGGAATTAGGTATTTCTGACATTCCAGGTGTTTTTCCTTCCCAGTCAACTTAGACTGAATAATCTCTATCAATAAGAAACATCTTGCATTTCTCACTTGCTGTTCCAAGAGTAAAGCAGTTCACTTTTCTTTCCCAGAAGAGGAATGAATGCATGCATCCCAATATTTATATTTTTCCTTACCATTTTTCCATTCCCCATCCTTAACAAGTATTCAGTAATTGTTCTAGAGGCAACCTCTCTATTCAAAAGGTCAAAGTATTTATTGCCCATCAACCCACCCAACTGGGGCACATTCATTTCACAAATGAAACCTGATTTATCAGGCAGTAGTTTTTCTACTATCTTTCATGCTTAATTATCTGAGAACCTGAATGCATCTGTGAAAATTGGATCAATAATAATGGTACTTACTAGAGATGATTAGTGTGGTTCCCATACTGAAGTATTTCGTCCAGGTGCTCCACACTGTGTTTTGGCTTTGCAATAAGCTAAGGCGCTCTCTTCCTGTGCCACTGCTGAAGAAAATCCCACTTATTTCCCAATCAGTTCCAGGAGATTGTGTGAAGCCTTGGCCCTTGTCTGCTGGGAGGATGTCAGGAATTTCGGACTTACACCCAGTTATCAGGCTGGTATCTAATGTCCTTTGGAGCAAATATCTTTCCTAAACTGTTGCAAATCTGTTAGATAACCCTTCTCCTTAGCACCTAAGCATTAGGTGAAGATCTCTTTTCAGTTTTAGACACACAGATAGGTGCACAGGGTTCTGCATGTTAAAACACATACCTCCAGGTGATGATCCTGCTCTTTCCCAAAGGGGTACACCTCCTTCACCTGCAAGTAAGTGACATCAAGTACTAGCAGCATGGAGTTCATTTTCAGTTGTCTTAATACAATCCAGCAGAGGGAAGGGAGAAAGATCCAGCACCGCAAGATTCACCAAGGTGTCCATGTGCTGCAGGTTGCTCGCTGGTAACTTTTCGTATGCTAGCCAGTGGGAGAAGGAGGCTTTTCCTTTGTGCACAGGTTTCTTTATAAAAGAGCCCAAGATAACATCAGAGGAGTCACCACTACTGGTGATCAAAGAGCCTGTGTGTTTAGTTTGTGAGTTTGAGTTCTTCTGGGATCCCATGTGGCATACTGACTGCAAAACAACGTTAAGGAGTGTGGTTAGAGGGAGGGGCAAGACTGAGGGTGAACCAACATCATATTCTGCAACCACAAAGGAATGGCAAGAGTGATGTAGACAGAGAATGGTGACAACCAGTGCTTTTCCTTCCTTTCCATGGTGTTTTGCAATGCCCTTAGACCATCTCACCTACAGCTGGTGGGACTGTTGGATTATGTTCATGACAGTATTAGGGAGGTCTCATTAGAAGAAAAATCTCAAAACACTACACACTGCAGACAGCTTTTCTAACTCACCTATATGACCTGGGCTTGCATGTATGAGGAGGACAATGCTAACCTTACAGCCATTTCGAAATCTAATACATGTTTGAAATTGTGTCATTTTTTCATCCCATCAGACTAATATTCTTTAATGAGTTACACTTCAATGAACCAAGCGAGGAGAGTATCAGGGTACCACAGTAAAGGAAAACATTAAGGAGAGGCCTGATGGTAGAGGAAAACCTTTGTGGATTAATTTCTCAGGCGTTAGGGTCAGTATGCACCTTGAGGCAGTTGCTAGGAGGGATGCATTGCATATGAGCCATAAGTATGAAAAGTTGTTCTTAACTATGGGAAGTTCTTTAGTACTACTTTTGGTAACTGTCTTCAACTTTTTTGGTGATTCAGATGCAATACTAGTGAAATATGAACAGTGATAAGCAAGAAGATGGGAAAATGGAATGATTCAGCTCAAAACAAAATAAGAACAAAAATGCTCCCCTCCAGATCTCGGGAGGAATAAACAGAAAATCTTCCTCCTCTGACAGCTACTAAGTTTTAAGTGAGAATAACACTCCTTTTCTTTTACTTAAAATCTTACAAACCTTCAGGCCAAAGCTGGCTATTTCAATTTCCCTTGCCAGGGTAAAGACTTTGGAGACCTCCTGTACCACATACTGACCTATTTCCAGGAACAACAACATGGAAATGTGCTCCCTTTCCACTAAATAGGTCCTTACAGCCTTGCAAATTAACTTGATGACATACTTGAGCAGAAAGGAGCACCTGGAATGGAGAGGATGGGTAAGGTATGGGACCTTCACTGTTCCCTTTGCACTGTGCACTTGCTCAGTCAAAACCTCTGGCTTTTGGCAGCTGATGATTCCATGGCACCAGTGGGCACTGAGCATACCCTGCTTCCCCAGTGCCCATGCTTGAAGCCACGTGGCTTATCCATGCCAATGAAAGTGAGTGCTTGGCAGGGCTAGGCGTTAGCAAGCATACAATTCCCCAAGCCAAGGTACAATTCTTAGGCATGTTTTCTTTCTTTGAATGACATCTGTTTCCTAGCGGAGAACAGTGGCTAGACTAGAAAATCAGTGCAATGTTTGCTCCCCTCAAGAGCCACCAGGCTTCTGCTATGGCTGTGCAAACAGCACCAGAGAAGCAGGTTACTTTCTAGTATTTATGTACTAAGTCTTAAGGCACTGACCACTTCCTTTGCCTTTAAGACATTAGATATGTGTTTGAAGACCAGGGTGCAAGTGACAACCCAGACTTCGGAAGGACAGCTGTGTGGGGTTAGCTGCTCCTTTTGGGTAGCAGAAAATGATTTGGCCTTTCAGCAGCTCATATCAGATGCAGTGAGAAGACCAGGTGTAGCGGTGCATTCCCTCCTCTCCTCATCCTCTGGGCTGCTCCATGATCTCAGGAAGGCCTGTCAGGCCTTGGTCTTTGTGTAATGAGTCAGGTAGTGAAGCATCCCTTGTCCATACCAGGAACACTGCATGACTAAGGAGGGAGGTGCTGATTCTACCAAGGAGTCCTGTTGTCTGGCTAAGGTGAGAAGCAAGGGCAGGGGTAGTCAGTCATTCCCTTACAGCCCTGGAATGCTCCTTCCCTTGACCACAGCCTGAGTGGAACAGTACAACCAGAGTTTTGAAAACTTCCTAGTTATTACTTACTGGTCACGATGGATATTTGCTTATGACTAATTCAGATCCTTCCACCCTATAAAGAGTGGTCCCAAGTGAGTTCCTTTGAGTTCTCCTGGACACCCCTTGGGGCTCACAAGTTCAGTTTGTGATACCTGAAGGACCATCACTGAAAGCTGTTGGTGGGATCTGGGCTGAGCCCCCCCTCCTTGAGGCTCAGCCCTCACCTGTTGAGAAATGCCAAGACATCTGACAGGAACATTTCACTGAGCTCCAGGGGACTTGTTAACAGGCACCTTTATATATCCATGTGTGTGTGTGCGAGTATAAATTGATATAGCAAATGCTGTCAATCCTATTGTCTCCTTACCTTTTTGTGCCTTTAGCCTGGTATTAATCCTTTCAGCTTGATTTTACCTCAATCTTCCCTTGCACGTTTCAGCCATGAGGCAAGTAATAGAGTGAACCTTGAAACCTTGCCATCAAACTCTGTGAAGTCACACTTCAAAAATGCACAGTAGAACTGCTTTTGCTGATACCTTTGATGGTGATTCTTTGAGCAACCATAAACCCCTCATTTCGTGACACCTGTAGTTCAGCTGTTGAGGGCTTTTTGCTGTGATGGTCTTTGAGTTTCTATCATGGTGAGCGTCCCAGTAAGCGCAGTAGTAAGTAGCGGCGTCGTTGGGAATTACATCTTTAATTGTAAGAATAAATCGTTTCTGGCTAGAAACTTTTTCAACCATGTACCTTTTTGCTAGAAAGCCGGTTTCAACTACAAGTTTCCCTTCTGAGAAGTGCAGGAGCCTCTCTGGAGCTCTACCCTCTTTCTGTTGATACCAGTGTATGGAAAGGCTTTCAAACACTTCCTCTGAAATTTTAATTTCACATGTCATTCTTACACTTCTTTGGGACTTGGTAATGGATATAGGGCTCTGCACAGGATATATTTGTGCAAATCCATCTAGGAAAGAGAGAAGGAGAAATTATGCCATTAGCTGGAATTCAGAGATATGGAGAAGATGCCTGTTAGTGCAACCATAGGTGCTTATGAGGAAAGATAAGGGAATGAAGAAGGACTTACAAGACCAGGAGGCTGTAGCCACAAGTGCTGCCAGCAGCAGCATGTTTGCTTGTCAGGCTCTGCTGTTGGTGAGAGTCAGGCTCTGCTATTGTTGAGAGTCAGAGGAGGGCGAAAGGGAGCCCAGATGGGGACAGTCTTCTGTGGGAGGAGGAGGTGCTGCTTCAGCAACAGGTCTTCTGCGTGCAAGTGGATGGGGCATGTTTACCGATAACCCTCTCCAGGCTGGTAAACAGTAACATTGGTTAGAAGGCTGTAGTCCTGTCTGCTTTTCAGGTAAATATGAGAAACGTTGGTCAATCTGATGATTGTGGCCCTGTAAGACTTGAGCCACCTTAGTCATCCGGCTTTGGGATGGCAAAGCGCCAGGGAGCCCCCATGTTGGTGCTGCCCTCCACCGAAGCAGCCAGAAGCCATCAGCCTGCAGGGACCAGGGCAGCTGCTCCCGGGGCCATGACTTTGGTTGTGGGTGCAGGAGGAAATGCGCGGCCGCAGGATTTCAGTTTCAAAGCTCAGCTGGGATGAAAACATTTCTGAGAAAGGAAGGCTGGAAAACAAAAGCAGGGCTGCTGTCAACAGCCATTGTGCAGGGCATCTCGGGGAGCAGGGGTGGTGTCACACTGAGCTCCCCCATGATCACTGTGAGGGAGATGAGCTGCTTCAGCCTCCCTCCTGCTGGCAGTTGGCCACATGCAGGAAGCCAGCAATAAGCATGTATTGCTAACTGGCTTGGAAAGGTGCTCTTGAGTACAGGGCTCTAGGGAGAGACACCTCCCTGTGTGTGGTGGCAATAGACAGGGTCCCTCTCTTCCCAGTAAATAACCATGAGAAAGTCTGTTTCATTTTCTGTCAGGCTACCCTGAGGGCAACAAGGAGAAATGACTTGAGGACTGGCAGGCACAACAAGGTGGAGAGGAAGAGACAACAATGATCCAGACTTTAAGATGAGGGAAGGGAGGTACAGGGAAAGGTCACTCATCCCAGCAGCATCCCATGTCAGTCTGCTGTGAGGGCAACCATAGTCAATCAAACTGCATTGGCAATTGTATGTTGAGGACATGAAATCAAACCCTGTTGCCAAAATCTACCAGGACCTGTATAAAAACAGTGCAGCATGTAGCTCTTCTTCTGATCACACAGCAGAAATCTATCTGGCACCTGATCCCAGGTCAAGAGTAAAGGAATATGGTGGTGAGTGGGTCTCACAAAATTAAAGGTCTAAATTACAGACACTTTCTAGGTTTTGTACTGTAGCTTTCTACCACCGCAAGTCTCCTAGTAGGAATAACTGCAGCTCAAACTTGATGGTGTCTGTGCCAAGAGGACTTATGTCCACATGTGCAGTGGCCAGAGTATTTTGAACAAAACACCTTTCCAGGTTCAAATTTTCACCAAATGGACTTCTCATGTATTAAATGGCCAACATGCCCTTTCAGAGAGCTTCATTACCTGAAGTTATCTAAATAGCTTCTCCTTCTTAAATCCCTGCTGACTGCTCCTGATCACCTTCTTTACTCTCGTGTCTGTACACGGCTTCTGGAACTGGTAGGCTGAACTCTTCTTGAGCTTGGATGAGATTCTTGAATGTCAGTCTCTGTAGGGCAGAGCAAGACAAAAAACAAAGTAGGATGTGCAAGATCACCCAGTCTCATTTCTATTCCTCTCTTTTTATGAGAAGAAAGCACTGAGGGGTTGGAGATTTGTTTCTCTGCTTGCTCCAAGGATTCTAATAGGGAAGAGAAAATTACAGTGGAAAGTTGTTCACACACACACACAGAGTCCATGTGCATAGTCAGGTGAGTGCTTTCAGTACAATCAGGCCTTCATTTTAAGAGCAATGTTTTCTGTATTTACCCTAAAGTGGTGGAACTGTCCAGTTTCTGGGTGTTACGAATACATGTGAGTACTGAAATGATAGACTTACTGACTGCTAACATCACATATTTAACAGTTGTCACAAGCTATTGCTGCTTTGCATATCCTGCTGCAGAAAAATCATGAGAGAGGGCTGGAATAGGCAAGTATTTTTTGCAGAGTTCAGGCCACAAAGCACCTTTTTGTACAGCTTATCTTTGCCCAGCTAGTGCTGTGATGCGATGTAATATCAATACGCACAGTAGTAAGTACCAGAATCCCTTGGAGTCAGATCATTTATCATGAGAGTATAATGATACTTAGGATGTGTCTGAACTTGAAATCTTCCCTTGTCGCCCCCGTCATCAAAAGTAGCTGACTGTCCCCGCGCATACAGTATCCTCGTTGGTGGCTGTCCAGGAAGATGCTTGTACCAATGGATGATGACTTCAGCTTGCAATTGGCACAAAATGCTGGTGGATGTGCCCTGCATCTGCGTTTGGAGCTTTGGGGTTTGCACTGGCACTGTCCATGTGTCTCCACCTGGAAGGAGAAACAGAAACGGTGTAAGGGGAAGAAACTGCTGGAGTTTGGAGCCAGGAGGGTGTTCTCCACACATGGGAAGGATGGAGGAGAGGAATAAAGGGCTTACGGGAGCAAAATGAAGCTGCAAGGAAGAGTGGAAGCAGCAACATGCTGCCTTAGCAGGTTAAACCTGGGAGTGAAATAAAGACAGAAGGTTCTAAAGCCCTTCAAGTGGAGAAAGCATCAAACAGCTGGGAGGAGGAAATGACTCATTCAGCACATCCAATGTTTGTTCTTCAACTCCCTGCTATGGAGGGGGTTGAATTTACTGGCAAATTAAACCACAGCAGTAACAGTGTAGAAAATACCTTAAAAATTTCCATCTAAAATAAGCTTTCTTCATGAAAAATTCATGTATAATTTTCTTTCTACATGATTCTATCCAGTACATTCCTCTCAGACTTACCTGCTGAGCACACACATAAAAACTCAAGTTGTTCAGCCCAGCTCTTCCCAAGGATGTTCTTCTCCCCTTGAATACCCTCAAGCTGTCCCAGAAGCCTTTCCTAGAACACTCTGCCTACTTTGGTAACATTTTTGGTACCTCAGGAAAGTATCTGTATTATGCAAAGTTGGTTTGTGTTACTGTACAATTCAGCTGTAGTACCATCACCCTCAGGAGAACTCCTTTTCCCCAGCACAGAACATGATACCAGCTGAGCTGTAGCACGCTGCATTTGTTTGCTTTTCTTTGTCCTTTATTTCTACTTACACCCTCTGCATAAACCTGTTGGGATGCTTTAGAGGCAGGAAGGTGCAGGTGTGGCTGTGCACTTGACAGAAAGCCTGCCACTCGTGGTACAGGTTTCTGTACAGGCTACCTGAGGTTTGCTAGTTCTGTGGTTCTGCCAGTAGGCACAGTAGTAGGTGCCTTCATCGCTGGGGTTGATGTCATTGATGGTGAAAGTGCAGATGTTCGGGCCTTTTTTCGAAGAGGAGTACTTGTTCTTATAGGAATCGTCATCATACTGAGCTTGACCTGTTTGGATAAGCAGAATCCATTCGGGAGGTCTGGAGGGTAGATGCCGGTACCAGTGTACATAGAGAGTCTGGAAGGCAGCCTCTGACATGCCCTCGACTACACACTCAATCTGTGCAGTTTTGGTTGGCTCGCTGGTAATGGATGCTCGCCTCTGCCTCAGAAACACTTGTGCTTGCCCGTCTACAAAGGAGGAGAGAAAAGAGAACAAACACTCTTATCCTGCTGTTTGCTCACAGGCATCAATACGGGTGCCTCTCGCCACTGCCATGTGCCGTGGCGACGAGGGGAACCTACGAGAGCAGGCTGCAGCCAGGGCCAGGAGTGGGAGCAGCAGCATCCTGAGGGCTCTCACCAGTGTCTGCCTCCCAGAGGAAGAGGAAGCTGACAGCTCTCCCAGCAGGGACAGAGGGCTGCACCGAGGACAGGAAATGACTCACCTGGGCATCATCCGGAGAGGCAGCACTGGCAGTGGGCGGGTGATGTGGAAGTAAAGCCTCTAGACTGAACCCTGCTGAATTTTAACAGCCTGATGAGTGCTTGTGGACAAGTGGCACAGACTCACCTCCTCCCTCTTATGCACACAGACACCATTACTGTAACTGGTTTACAAAGTGATTTTGTAATCTGAAGTAATTTTACCACTGCTTTTGCACTATTTGAAGCTGCTAAACAATGCCTGGGATCAGATGCTTTTTCTCAGGTCCCCTACCAGTAAAAAGGGAGAAAAAAACAGGAAAATGGAGCTTGAAAATTTGAAGGGTCTCAAATTACTGCTCATCACACAGCCTGAATGCCAAAGGCCAGGAAGAATAACCAGCAGCCATTTGGGAGCTCAGTGGCAGTATTGCTGTACTAGCAACTGCATCTTGTCACAGGGAAGGTGAGATGCTGCACCCCAGGGTGCCTTTTCCAAACGCTGCATATTATGCAAAGAAACACAATTTTCTGTTGGCAGAATGGAAGTGTCAATATCTGTGCTCTTTGCTTTGCAGGTTTGCTGCTGTGTAAGACAAGAAGCCCCACACAAGTCAACTAAGAGACTTGGTTTAACTTAAGTGAAGGTTTGATCAACTCCAAACAGAAGCCAAGGAGAAAATGAAACAAGAATCTCTACCAGCAGAGAAGTGCAAAGTGAGTCTATTACACCTGCAGTCTTGAACCATGCTTCAAGCTTTTCTTCACTTCTGTCCTACTGTTCTGCTGTGCAAGTGATGTAAGTGGGTATTTGTTCTAAGCATGTAGCTTGAAGGGTAGTGGGAAGGTTTTTTTCTCCTTTTGGATAACCTCACCTGCCATTGTGTAAACCTACACGGCACCAATCCAGCCAGACCTATGAGCGTGCCCTTTTTGATGTTAAAGTGTGATAACAGCTTGGCTGGTGGTGGCTGTAGCGTGTCTGCAAAGCATGCGCTGGCTGGGAAGCATCGTTGGCTGTGTGCACAGGGTGTCAGATTCAAAGCTGATGGGGAAAGGAGGTGGGGATATTCCTGTGTGTTGCCAAACACTTGAGGATCCAGTTCAGAAAGCAGAGTGTGTCTCTGTGCAGGCCCCTATAGCTTTCTACTGCAGTGTATCCCTACTAGTACAGTAGGAGGTCACAGCGTTTTGTGGAGTCACTTTGCTCACTGTGAGTGTGCAAATGGCTTTGGTGGGGTCTTTCTCAATGCTGAGCTTGCCCTCATCGGCCTGGTTTTTGAGGAAGAACCCGGAGGACACGTAGGCAATGTGCTGGGAAGCTGTGTGGGGCCTCTTTCAGTACTAGTAAAGGAGCACAGTGTTGAATTCAGGGTGGGGGACGTGGTGGTTGATGAGCACTGTTTTGTGTTCTGCCTTAGGGATGGGTATTGGGCTTTGCTGCAAGACTCCTGCCGAGCTGCCTGTGCAAGAGAAAGAGAAAAGTCAGAGGTGTGGAGCTAAGAGCATGTCCCCTCGACGACAGGCAGACCAGGAGTACAACTCAAACAAGCGGCCAGGATGAAAGTACTCAAGAGCCACATTGTCACTGCCCTTCTTATGGCTTCCTTACAGGGGCAGGGGCAGACTCAAATGGGGGCAAAGGAGTTCTGAGGAGCAGAAAATCTCTCCCATGAGGCTGTGCCAGCTGTGGGGGTGTTAAATAATGCATTATTTCCCATTTCCTTTGGTTAACACTTGTATAAATGGCAAACAAAAAAAAAAATCCAAAGCTGGAACCCACCCTTGTGAGCAGAGAGCTCACTACGGAGGCAAACCTTTTTCTTTCTTGATTTACCCCAAGGGATTTCCTTAGGTGATGGCCGTCCTAGTGAAGAGTCACCAAAACTGAAAGATGTTCTATTTCTTATAATAGCAACAGCCCCCAACCACGAGACTCAGTTCTGATGCATTTAACTGACTTTTCTCTACAGAACAGCATGAAGATCTTGCTGTTTTCTGGAAGACAATTTGAGAGGAGACAACAATCAAGCTGAAGTTATTGCAGAAGAGAACCCCCTACAGCTCTCATGCTGCAACTGACAGCTCAAACATAAGGATTTACATTAGAGAACTGGTCTAACAGTAGGTTGGTACATTGAACTTTTGCCACAGGCTTTCTCTCCTTCCTCTGCCCTTCTTTCCATCTTCCACCCACGTCTCTTTCTTCCACCCTTCTCATTTTTCTTTCATTCTGCTGATTTTTCTTCTTTTCCCCCTTCTCCTTTTGTCCTATGCTACTTTCTTCCCTTCTTGCCATCTTCAGCCCTTCTTGTGCATTCTGCCCTTCTTGTATTTTTCTGCCCCCATCTCATCCTTCTGCCCGTCTCCTTATTCAGCAGCCTGGCAAAGGTAAGTCACAGGTACACAAAGCAGCAACAGGAAGACAGGCCAAGCTGGCCATGTCTCCTGAAGAGGGAGAATGTGAGGGATGAGGATCAAACTCTGACCTTGCACTGGGTAATGGAGCCAGAGACAGACAGGGCATGAATGGTACCTTGGAGGTGCAGTAAGCAAGAACCGAGCCCAAAGGGCCCCGAGGAGCCCTAAACAAGGGGTTACAGAGGAAAAGTAGCAACCCCTGTGGTCTGCTCTTGGGAGTCTAGAAAACTTCCCCCCCCTTGCCCTGTCAAGCAGCTCAGTGGAGAAGAAGCCTTCCCCCTGCCAGGCCTCTATTGGAGGAAGGACTTTCAGGACTTTTGCATTTGTTGACCCCCTTCACCAGATGCGGGTCTCACTGTCTCCTGAAGAATGTATCTGGTGGTTTACATGCTACTTTGTTCTCAGCACTGCATTTACAGTGCCTGTGGTGGGACAGAAGGCTTGCATATTCAGAGTGGGACTTTTACTACTGTCTGGGCATTTTCTTTTCACTCAGATTTTCCTTAACTGCTATTAAGCACCTGCATATGCAACACAATTCCCTTTGGAATGATTTCAGCTTTGCCTAATCAATCTTAGCTATAAGGTTCTGTCTGTTACAGGAGACACCATTTGGAAAGCACTACAGTTCTCCCTATGTGAAGCTTCTGTGGGGATTAAACAGGTCAGAGCGAAGACACCTGTGCAAGAGAAACACAGATGCTGCCAGAGATGTGCTACACACAAGGGCAGCATCAGAGCCGAAATCACATGGATGAAGACTAAGAGAGGAGTCTTCAGAAGGTAATTATCTTATACATAATGTTACGCATTTAGCAAGGTGTATGAATGTATGCATCCATGTAGTCCACTTCATATTCTCACCTGATTGCTTGCATCACATCCACTGCAGTCCCCTTGTCTGCAGTGAACATCTCACCACCAGAGAGCACACCAGAGCTGACAGTGGCACTGATAATTACAGCACTTCACACTCTGCTGTACTGCTTTCAGAGATGTGGCTTTATTAGCTGAACTAACTTCTTTCTGTAGCTGGGAACTGGCTTATCAGGTGGTGCTTCATCAACTGTCACCTTAGTGCTTTAAACACAAAAAGAGAGACCTTTTAAATTACATCTGTTTTAAAAGTAACAGTAAAATCTGGTTTCATCCTTCAGGCAGTGTGGTTCTTCCATCTTCTACCACTCTAATACTCACTCATGCTCTGCTTGCACATGGGTGTGCAAGAGGGAACAGTCCTGTAAACTGTTTCCCACCCCATCCACCTAACCTACCCATCATGGTGACTTTCTTTTGATGCTTTTTTCCCTGTGTCAGAAAGACACTAAGGAATTTTCATTAAGTATGAACCTAAAGAGACTATGGTTTATTTCATGTCTAGGGCACCAGTAATCAGAGCATCCTGCAATCAAGTACTACACAATCTGAGCAGGACCATACCCACCCAGCCTCGCCTCCCTCTTCTTAGCAGGGGCAGATACACCCAGCTGTGAGGTATGGAAAAGGAAGAGCAAGATGTGGAGAGGAGCAGGAAGAGGAGAAAAGGGATAGAAATGTCATTCAGCTTATACATTTCTCATTATTCATACCACCACCAGATAGATGAGCTGCAAAGACACAGTATATTCACTCACTCACATGAGATGTTCATCCATCTTCAGTTATTTTGTTGTACTTCCAAGGCCAGACTGTGCATGATCAGGACACAGGATGAGGAGACTGGGTCACTAAATCTTTCAAGGTTAGTGGTGTCTTAGGCATAAGTAAGTCTTTACAGCCACCTAGATACAGTGTGTTATTGTTTTACAATCACTCTGAAAGCATTAAATTCAGTAATTTGCCAAATCCATTACGGTGTGTCAATGAGAAGAATCCAAGAAAAAGGAGAAATGATTCTGAGCTAATGTAACTTGATGGGTGAGGGTACCACCAGTAGGTAACAGCAGTACCTATTGGAAAGGATTTTCTTCTCTTGCTCTAGAATAGGTGTCTATACGTCACAGAGAAATACAATTATTTTATACTATTAATCTCAGGAGCTGGAGGTGGTAAAAGTGGCTGAGAGACAGGTCTGATTGTCTAACAAACAAAACCAGCATAAACCAAATATGAGATACAGTTGGTAACCCAAAATGATAAATACATTCATGAACTCCTTCTGTTAGAAGGGAAAACTGAACAGCAAATCAAAGTGCTTTCCTGCAACCTCTTTGGACTCCGATTGCTCACTGTGACATTTCAGAGCCAAAGCCCCAGCTATCACGGTTTCATCATTCAGCTTCTCCACAAAACACAGCTATAATCAGACTTGCTTTTTAAAGCTCCTGTATTCTGAAAAAACAGAGAAACCAACTTTCCTCCTCTTCCACAGCAACAAAAAAATCTGTTTCTTCAACTGAAATCTGACAAATGAATTAGAAATAGAGCAGAAACAGATACCATTTGCACCAAAACACGCTCCCAACCAAAAAAGTCATGAAAAATAACTGAATTGCTAGTAAAATACAGATGTTCCTGAAGCTTTGCTGCTTCCATGCGTCAGCAAGCACAACAGAGCAGATTCCTGGAGAACCTGCTTTCCACACAAAATCAATGGATAAAAAAAGAAATTACTGAGGTAGCAATCTGTGGTCAAGCACAGAGATGATCCCTTGGTGCTGGTGGTCAGAGTCTGGAACAGGAGGAACAGCTAGGAGATGTGCTGAGCTGGGGTTCAGACCTTTTGGATCTAGGGTTGAGAGCAAGAGTTTAAATGATGCATCTGTTACGCCGTGCTTCTTTGGAAAAAGAGGTATTAAATTCAGATAAGGTTCTTTAAGACAACATATAAACTATAGAACTTCCGTGTTACAAAACTTCAAAAGCACGACAGATGAAACAGCTTCTTTGGATCAAAGGTTTATTTTTAATGACACAGCACTGGAAAACATAAGTTACAGATGACTTTGATACAGGATACATTATATATATTAAAAGGATCTGTGAAGGTATGCTGCATAAATACATATAGTGAAAATATATTGTGTTTATTTCTTCTTAGAGATTAGATCTGTTTCTTTGTTTTCAATCAATTCAGCCAATTAAATAAAAAAGTATAGATTAGCATCATAACAGCTCCCCCTCCACATTATCTCCTTGTAGCTACTGCAGCTGGAGGGGGAGGCCGAGCCATGCCTTCTCAAAGGGTTAGCAGCTTTGAACATGATGTTATTCATCATCTCAGAATGAAAATTTCACATTACAAACACAGATACTGTATCATGTTTTGGCAATGGAGCAGCTAGTTTTGCTCTGGAACAAAACCATTTCCTGTAATGCCAGACAGTGAAAGAGCGATGCATGTACTGGTGATACTACACAGCCAAAGAACTACGATGAAGTTGTGAAAATGCATATATATCTATATGCACTTATATATACACATATAAGTTCTTGTGTGTATATATATTATGCATGTCCAAAAATAACATTGAAAAACATTGCAGCGGTTGATTATTCTTG